ACATTTTACGGACGCCATCACGAGTTGGTTGACCGTTATGGAATATCCGTTTTACAGATGATAGCGGATATGTTCCAATTGTCGTAACTAAAATCCCGTCCCCCTTTCCCCGATTGTCACATACTGAACTAGATTTATTACCAGGTTTGTACTAACATGAGCAACACGACGGGTGCCAAATGTGGAGCAGGATCTGCTTACCTTTACAGAGTACCTGAGATCATCTCGAGTTTTTTGTGGGGTTCCTTTTGCTCAGTATTTTGTTTTCTGTGTTGTGTTTTGTGTCCTGTTGTTTGTCTGTTAGTCTTTTTCATTTTTAGCCATTGTGTTGTCACTTTATTTTCGACTTATGAGTTGGAATGTCCCTTTGGTATCTTTCGCCTCTCTTCAGTGTCGTTAGAATATTTGCAGATTTGGCACAACTTTTGTGAACTTTTAGTATACAATCCATTTTTTTGTTTGTAATGACACTAATATGATTTGGGTAATGTGATTTGAAAAGAGTTCAAGTTATGCATCTTTGGTCGAAATTCCAAAATGAACATAACACAGACATGTGACTGCTAAAAATTTCATCTTCAGTTAGTTTCGTTGGAGTACAAGTTTGTTTTCAAGAGAACTGTCAATACCGGTGTTTATTTAATGATTTACAAACACATTGATACTGATTTGGCCTTTGGCTTGTATATCGGTGAATGTTCAAATATGTTATATACCCCGTTGTAAACTATCTATTTTTTTCCGTTCGACGGATCAATAACGGTTTATGTTGATTTAAACAATATAAATGCCAAATGCCATTGTTCACTGGCTATCAGGTGTTAATTAGTTTTTTTGTTACATTATAAAATAAGTAATAATATAAGAGTGTCAGGTACGATTGTCAGGTATTTTATCCTTATAAATTAGTGTCAAATTATATAAGAGTTGCAAGTCACTCATGATAATTTTATAATCTAATTAGTACATCAAAGGTCCGGTCAATTTCGTAACTAATCAACCGTAACATTTACAAGAAGTTTGTACACCTGTGACAATAACTATGTACCGGTATTCTATTGAAAATATAATCCATAAATAAAACGACATGCAGGTAAAACAATCATTTAACCCGTGTTTGTCAATTTTTAAAACTTTTTAACTGCAACCATTTCAGTATCCGCCAAAATATTTAATTGGAATTAAAGAATCCACCAAAATAAAAAACGCCAAAATTTTTCGTATACTTTGTTGCCCCTAAATCGCGAAATTTTACAACCGCGAAAATAACCCGCTATACGGTAGTTCAAATTGCAATTTATGGACATCAAGACAATATCTATATTACCTAAAAATTTAAATAAAATAGACCATGATAGCTGTTCATGTAAATACCGATTTTAACTATACTATGGATGCTGCTCGAAAAGAATAAATGAATGTACCAATAAATAAATTACACCAGAATCAAAGGAGTTGACAATCTATAGTTTTTACCATAGAAAGTATATATTAAAAGATGCAGTTTGGATATTTATGCAATGAAAGCTAGTAAAGTTTTGATACTACTTCTTACATTCTAGTGATTGAAGTATTATGTAATGTTGCTTAAAGAAGTTTGTTTATGGTTATTATCAGATTCTGGGATGTGTTATTTATCCCACAAAACGAAACATGATAAGATACAGAGCCGTTTGAACTTAGATCAAAAAGTATAATTTTACGCTGCGAGATACTGAATACAGCACACATGTGCCACAGGTGGAAATAAGGATGATCTATTCTTATCTTGATATAGATCGCCCTTCAACGCTTGCTAGATTTTAAATACATAAATATATAATTGTAATCTTATTTGCAAAAGAGTTTTTCATTCAAACTCTACATTTTTGTATTGGAAAATATAAAAATGAAAACAATGAAAACAATGTAGGGTGCATGAGTTGAAATCATCTCAGACAATATCATGTGTGTGAATTCAATATTTAAATATTGCACATAATTTGCAACCCCAATTGAATAATCAGCATGGTTTATAGCAAGTCTTGCATAAAGGTGATGACAAATATTTAGGGGAAGACTGCAAGAACATTTCATTTTCCATTTTTTTCCTGTGTCATTCAATTTTTCTAGCTGTATTATTGACTTAAATCAACACATCCTTTTATTCGTATTTCAAAGCGCACATGCATGTACTTTTAATCAACACTACATTTTGAAATATTCGAAATACCCATTTTGATATAAACTTGAACAACAGTAAGTTATTTCCAATATCATGATACCAGTATTAACATCAGATAGATGATGGTAAATACGTTGTTTTAAGGACAAGGTAAACAAGTATGTAGAAAGAAGAGAAACGGTTTCTATCACCATATATGTGTTCATGAATTTCTGAAGTAATTATTTCTGTTGCTCTTCCTAATGATCCTGCTTAAGAATTCACAATAGTCAAATATACCCTCTACCATACTAAGCAGCTGCTTGGACATATTGTGTCAACTGAGATACGTTATGTGATATGCTCAGGAAAGGAATTACTGTAAATCATTGCGTGCATTTATAAATGTGTTTTTTGAAGAATTGAAAAAAATGCAAGATTAATTATAGCAATTTCAGGAAAAGCTGCACACATATTTATTTATATATGCAAGATATCAGAATGTGAGTTCTTATTATTGCCGTACTCACCCAATCACATTATTCCCATTGAATTTACAGTAGTTAATGACCAATTGACAGCTATGTAGTGAGTCTGATATGATCATCTCCTTAATTTCAAACATAAAGGTCCTATAACTCTTGAACAAATCAGAAAATATAAGAAAACTGAAACGCAGATAGTTTTTATTGGTTGTAGTATTGTTAAACATATTTTTCGTTTATCAATTTAAGGCTTTATTGAAAGATATAATGAAAGATATAATTGGCATGCCTTTTTGTAAAGGTATTACTTCAGTACCTGAATGTATGAGGTCCTTATATAGAGTGTAAAACATGCAAATAATACTGATATAAAATAGTATTTGTTTTACAAATTTAATGAAACAGCCACAACGCAATCTATAACATTAGGAAACATCTTCATAAATTAATAAGTAAAAGGTTACAACTGGAAACATGTGGAGACAGAGCTATTTATATATAAAAAAAAAATCAAACATGTAAACACAACTGGACACAGTCCTATTTCCTTATAATAAACTGTTAACACAGAGATATGTCTCACCTTTTTGTTAATTTGATAGTAAAATGCAAATGTTGAAATTAAAATAGCAATATTTTTACATGTAAGTTATGCAAAATATTCTATGAACCATGACTGAAGGTACAAGGCCAAACCATTTCAATGGAAATGAGATGTACCAGTGATAATACAACTGCATAACAAATACTATTGACCTACCACTAGTGGTTCCCCATAAACTGACCTAATCACAAACTGATACACATAAACTAAGCAAATGTTTCAGTCAACATACCTTGACTGAGGGGACAAGGTCAAATAATCCCCATGGAAATGAGATGTGCTAATGATAATACAACTGCATACCACATACCATTGACCTATCACCAGTGGTTCCCCATAAACTGACCTAATCACAAACTAATACAAGTAAACTAAAAGTTTCAGTGTCAACAGACCATGACTGAGGGGGAGGGCGAAATAATCTCCATGGAAATGAGATGTGCTAATGATAATACAACTGCATACCAAATATCATTGACCTACCACTAGTTGTTCCCCAAAAAACTGACCTAATCACAAACTAATACATGTAAACTAAGCAAAAGTTTTAAAGTCAACAGACTATGACTGAGGGGGCGGGGCCAAACAATCTCCATGGAAATGAGATGTGCCAATGCTTATACAACTGCATACAAAATATCATTGACCTACCACTAGTGGTTCAATATAAACTGACCTAATCACGAACTAGTACATGTAAACTAAGCAAATGTTTCAAAGTCAATAGACCATGACTGAGGAGCATGTCCAAATAATCTCTATGGAAATGAGATGTGCCAATGCTTATGCAACTGCATACCAAATATCATTAAACTACCACTAGTTGTTCCCCATAAACTGACCTAATCACAAACTAATACATTGTTTACGATGCTGCCTCCACAGGCAAGATCAAATTAAACAAACTAGGGGATACAGGCCCACACATCTGGACAAAGATTTATTTCTTTATAAAAAAGTAAAAAAACAATAGGCTACAGGAAGACACAAATGAACACAATACTACTTCTTTATAAATATAAAGAAACAAGGGGATACAGGCAGACACAAGTCGAGTCATTACCATATGAAAATTAAACATTAATTGTCTTCCACTGCAATCTTTAAAAGGAATTGTTCAAGTAATAATATTTATATCTTACAACTGTGCCAAAGTGTCTGGTTAACAAATATATGCCAACTACTTTTAGCATTGGAACCTTGACACTAATGCTAAAAGTACTTAGGGTAGACTTAAATTTGTATGACAAGCAAAGTGGATGGGCTTAAAAAAACAGTTTAACCAAACATAGTTTGTGCCTGTACCAAAGCAAGTGAAACTATCTGGATCATGTGATGTGCTTTGTTGTTTTGTCTTTCTGTTTTCTTCCAGGAGTCAGGTGTTGTTGGTTTATGTGGTCTATTAAAACGTTCAATATTGATAGTAATTCCTGCTATCCTTTTTGTATTATTAATATTTTCGAAATCCTAAATTAAAAAGGTGTCTTGTCTATACAGAACCAGTTATCATAAGACTTCAAACACATCGTTAAACTAAAATAAGTCCAATAACTCTAGAGTCTAGAATGAGTGAAATGAGAAATTTAGAATCAAAAGGGAACGTGTCTTCATGGAATCAAACATTGTGTAAAAATATATTGAAGCAGACTTTAGTTATCTAGGGATTCATTGGCATGGACAGACAGACAACCATATACAGGTACTATTATATGTCAGCTGTTGACAGGCTTATAGAAAATTAGGTTTATGGTATAAACAACAACACAAATTGTAATAAACTCAAAATATAAAATAAGTTTAATATAGTTAAAATGTATAAATCTTCTTTGTGATGACCACTGATAACAATGATGTATAGCCTTTATAACACGATTATAAAAAACAATGTGCAAAAAATGTGCAAAGATATGTATAAAATTTAAGATAACAAATTATGGAAATCATCATCATTAAACAGCATGTAATTTATATTCTGTGCAAAATGATACTCAATTGTTTTATACATATAAAATTCTCTAAAAGAAGAATAAAATATCAAAAATAAAATGATAAAATAGTGAATGTACTAATAATAAATGTAACAGATCTAACAGTTATAGTGACAGATATAACAACAGCAGTATATATTTATAGTGACAGATATAACAACAGCAGTATATATTTATAGTGACAGATATAACAACAACAGTATATATTTAAATGTACATACACAATTATAAGTAAGATTGAAGTACATAATGATTGATTGTTGGTGTTTAATGCAACTTTCAGCTATGAGTTTGAATTACCCTTTGATATCTTTTGCCTCTTTTCTTCATCACTATTGTTTATATCCTGGTGGTCAGTTTTCATAGGTGGAGGAAGCCGCCCAGAGGGAACCACTTACCTTCAGCAGAAAAACTGACAATCCTAGTCAATTAAGATTTGAGTCAAATGCACAAGCCAATACAACAGATGGTCTACTTAAACAACTCTGCCACTGAGGCTCTAAATAACATTTAGAAATTATCACATATATTTTTGTGATATTAGTAGATGTCAGTTATCATCAGTATCAAATAAATATCAATGATAATATTTTAAAATAAGGAGCTGTGGTATGATTTCCAAATGAGACAACTATCAAACAGAGTTTATTTGAGGCAGATTTAAGCAACTTTAGGTAACTGTATGGCCTTCAACAATGAACTAAATCCATTATGTATAGTTAGCTATAAAAGGTTTGACATCACAAAATGTAATCCCCTGATTTATGCTACAAACACTATAAAAAAAGCCCCAAAAAGGCAGAAAGCAAACAAGGACAAAATATGGAACAATTCAGAAGAAAAAAAACCAAGATAAAAACTAATGGCCTGATTTATGACAAAACAATAAACAAAAAACAAGTCAGAATAATAGTAAATGTTATATAATGAAGAAATTTTTAACAGTTTAAAAACATTGACAAAGTTAAAATATATGATATTATGATAATGAATATAGGCAGACACACACTGGACATGAAACTATTGGACAATTCAACTGTATAAAATACAAAACAAGATAAAGGATCAATCAAACTGTTCAACTTTATGTATGCTAAACACAAATATTGTTTACATTTTTTAATAGCGTATATGTTTATTCATTTTATATCTTCTTTCATATGAATAACATGGAGTGCTGAGTATTGTAAATAAGATAGCAATTCAACAACACAAGAAAACAACAAATTGATAACTAAAGGTCACCATGTAGTAATAAACTGAGGACAAGCTGACAAATATCATCAATATCCTTAAATAACAAAAATTTCTGACAAGTTATGAATGAATTCAACTGAGATAACAAAAGATTATACATCAACTCAAAGTTCTGAAAGAGGCAGAAACTTCCAGACACCATAATAAAAACTAAGAAACCAATTGTTTGGTAATGACATGATTTACCTTTCTTGAATTCTCAGGTGACATATTTATAATTTATTAAAGAATAAATGTGGATAGTGTCCACATGTGGACACAGATGATGCCCCACTTGCATATCATATAGTTATAAAGGGACATAACTGAAGAACGGTAAAAATGACGCTACCCAAATTGGAACTTGATCTGAGTTTTGTGGTAATAAGCAATGTGTGTAAGTCTCATAACATTTGGTTGAGGCTAACTTAAGTAGAGAACAGAAACTAAAAATTCAGTAATTTTTCTATTTGTAAACACGCATAACTCTAGAACGGTTGTGTATAAGTTTTATAACATTTGGTTGAGACAAACTAAAAATTCAGCAATTTTTATGTTTATAAAGTGACATAACTCAAGAATGGTAAAAGTGTCGCCACCAAATTTCAAATTTCGTACTTAATCTGTATTATGTAGTTATAAGCATTGTGTATAAGTTTCATAACATTTAGTTGAGGCAAACTAAAGTTAGAAAACGGAAGCAAAAAATTTGTACTTGATCTTAGTTTTGTGGTAATGAATATTGTGTATAGGTTTCATAATGTTTGGTTGGGGCAAACTTAAGTAACAGAATGGAAACTAAAAATTTTGCAATCTTTCGATTTATAAAGGGGCATAACTCAATAATGGTTAAAGTGACACTACCCAAATTCAACTTGATCTGTGTTTTATCAGTGGAAGTCAAAATTAAACATTGCATTGTATAAAGAATTGATTGTAGTTGATTCAACTAAAATCATGGACAAAGGAAGATAACTCCAATTTTAAAAATTACTTGATATTTAGAAGAAAATATAAATTTTGCAATTTTTCCATTTATAAAGAGGCATAACTCTAGAACGGTTAAAGCGACGCCACCAAAATTCAAACTTGATCTGTGTTTTGTGATAATAAGCATTGTGTATAAATTTCATAACATTAAAAATTTTGCAATTTTCCCAGTTATAAAGGGGCATAACTCTAGAACAGTTAAAGTGACACTACCAAAATTCAACCTTGATCTGTGTTTTGTGGTAATAAGCATTGTGTATAAGTTTCATAACATTTGGTTGAGGCAAACTTAAGTAAGAGAACGGAAACTAAAACTTTTGCAATTTTTCCATTTATAAAGGGGCATAACTCTAGAACTGTTAAAGTGATGCCACCAAAATAAAAACTTGATCTGTGTTTTGTGGTAATAAGCATTGTGTATAAGTTTCATAACATTTGGTTGAGGCAAACTTAAGTTAGAGAACGGAAACTAAAAATTTTGCTATTTTTCCATTTATAAAGGGGCATAACTCTAGAACGGTTAAAGTGACGCCACCAAAATTCAAACTTGATATGTGTTTTTTTGGTATTAAGTATTGTGTATAAGTTTCATAACATTTGGTTGAGGCAAACTCAAGTTAGAGAACGGAAACCAATTTTGGGACTTACGGACGTACGGGCGTACGTACAGACGGACAAGGGTAAAACTTTATGCCCCCACCCCTAGGGCGAGGGCATAACTCAGGTTCAAAATTCCTCAGGCAAAGTTGACCTTAGGGTGTTTCAGCTATTTTATTTAGATCCCTTCTGGTAAAATAACTCCTCAAGTATTCAAGTTTTCATACATATTTGGTTTTGAAATTTTTGTGCTTGAGCATTCCTAAAGGTAAATCCAGAAAAGGGCTTCAGACACACTAAATTCAATAAGTGTGTTATTTTCATTTTATAGCTTAATTTCCATGAGTGGACAAAGCATATTTTCTCTATGTTCCATATAAGCTAAATGTAAGATTAACTGCTTTACAGAGCAACATAAATGAACTTAATTTCTATAGTTCATCATCACTTCCCTTTTTAGTTTAAGTGTGTTTTAATTTATGATGGCCCCTTTTCTTGCTTCTCAACTGTTTATGACTCTGCCAGTGTTTGAAGACTTCCTTTACCCTTGAGTATTTTGCTTTCCAATGTCTGGATTTTTGACTCTAGAGCTAATTTTGCTTCCTTGTCACACCGGAAGTCACCTATAAAAAAACCTTTTTAAATCAATGACCATTAACAGCATGCATAGGACGGGCAAAGATGCATCACTTTGAGGGCATAGATAATTTGTGTATAAATAATATTGAAATGTAAAATATATTAATGAATAATAATTATTTATTATAATTATGGGGTAAAATCAACTTCTTTTGGCAGTAGATTTATGTGATATTTATCCACTAAGATATATTTAATTTTTGACAGTAATATCAAACCATGTAAGTTTCAGGATTTTAAGTATAAATGCAGGTGTGAGGTAGACATGACTGAGACAATAAACCAACAACACAATGAAACAAAATCAATACAGCAAAAGTTTGTTCATTGTTTTGTACATAAATCAGGCCATTAGTTTTCTAGTTTGAATTGTTTACATTTGTCATTTTTGGGCCTTTTAGTTGACTATGTGGTATGGGTTTTGCTCATTGTTGAAGGCCGTACAATGACCTATAGTTGTTAACTTCTATGTCATTTGATCTCTGGTGGAGAGTTGTCTCATTGGTAATCATATCTTCTTATTCTTATAGCAAAGGTAAACATATCATCCTTAACTATAGACAGCAGTCTATACTCTATATGTCAAATTATGAATAATTATGTAGATTTACTTGTAGAAATTTTTAAAACAAGTGGATTGTTTAATTTTTACTTGTTCTATTGTTTTAAATAGTTGACGATTTTAGTATTACTATGAAATCTGTCTTAAAAGAAGTTATTTGGGAAAGATGCTTTGTTTTTAATTGAGACAGTTGTTTAGCTTATGCAAGTGAAACTATTAGATAATATTCATTCAATGAAAAAAGAGCTAACTTCAAACCAGTTTCCCATTTACAATGGTTAACACAGTGTTGGTATATACTAATTTTACTGTATTTTTTTTGATAAATGCAAAATCTGAAATGCCCACATTCTTGTTATGTATAGAAAACTTCAACTCTAGAATGAAAAAACTGCAAAAGGCCTCCATATCATTCAATATTTAAACTTTGTTTTCTGAATATGCAAAAGTAGTTATATAAGAGCTTGATAGCTATAACATTTGTTTAGGAGAAAAGAAAATACATAAAAAGGAATTACCATATATATTTGATTTGACTGTAAAACTGACCACACCAGCCCCTGACTACTCCAAATAAATGGGGAATGTGTCCATGGGACACAGGTGATGCCCTCACTTGCATATAATGTTATAAAGGGACATAACTCAAGAACTTTAAAAGTGACGCTACCCAAATTTGTACTTGATCTGAATTTTGTGGTAATAAGCATTGTGTATAAGTTTCAGGCAAACTTAAGTTAGAGAATGGAAACAAAAAATTCAGCAATATTTCCATTTGTAAAGGGCATAACTCTAGAAAGGTAACCGTGACGCCACCAAAATTCAAACTTGATCTGTGTTTTGTGGTAATAAGCATTGTGTATAAGATTCATAACAATTGGTTGAGGCAAACTTAAGTTAAAGTGGAAACAAAAAATTTAGCAATTTTTTCATTTGTAAAGGGGCAAAACTCAAGAAAGGTAAAAGTGACGCCACCCAACTTCAAACTGTATCTGTGTTTTGTGGTAATAAGCGTTGTGTTTAAGTTTCATAACATTTGGTTGAGGCAAACTAAAGTTAGAAAACGGAAACCAATTTCGGGACGTACGGACGTTCAGACAGACAAGAAAGATTAAGAAAACTTAATGCCCCCTCCGCTTTGCGGGGGGGGGATAAAAATTAACTGTGAAATATATTTCAGTTATTTTAAGACATACATGCATAAAATTTTGCCTAGCTTTTTTCAATTAAAATTCCATAACTCTGAAAAAACAAATAAGGTGAACATAGTAAGTAAGAGTTCAGACCTTAAGATCCTAGTTATTTGGTGAAGTTTGAAATAAGTATATCACTACTTTAGGCAAACTTGATTTCGACATTTGAGATATTACTAATTTCTGAAGATGGAAGGTCACATAATGTGAAAATCATCAAAATTTATAGACTTCAAGAGAACAATTCTTAATACAGAATTTGATTAAGTTTGAAATATAAGAAAATTGCCAAAATTGCCAAAAAGTATATCTACCCTCAAACATAATGTCAGATTACCATTGCTAATGATTTGGCAAAGTTTGCAGTAAATCACTGAGGGGATACAAAAGTTAGTGTGCCAGATGTGAAAGATTGTATATTTTTGCTTGCAACTTGTTTAAAGTGGTATTAGCTAAGAACTAGACAAAAAAACAATTTATGATATTTTTTGCTTCAAAATTTTTTAAAAGTGGTATTAAGAAATAATGTTTCACTTGAAGCAGTCAGTTTGGTTCAATTTTGTCGAAATAAGCTCAAAAACATTGATGATGTATTATTGACTAGCAAGTTTAGCTTGACTTGCAAGTCAATAATTCAACTCATTTGAATCCGTATTCAGGTGAACTTCAATTTGACCCCTTACTGCGGATGGGTTATGCATAGGCTAAGCATGTGTTGTTATTAAAAAGAAAAGAATGTCGCAATTGAAAAGAGACACAAGGCAGCCACTGGGAAGATCCCTTTCATTGACCGATTCTGCCCACATTCAAATACAGGTCTAACAACAATTTTCATATTTTTTTAATCTATGACATGAAATCAAACAGACCTAGAAAAATTGTTATTATACGATTGCACATGCTTGCCTGTGTATTTATATTTAGACTTTTTGTAATTTGGATAGATGCTTTAGTATGTTATAAATAAAAAATCAGAGTTCTAATGTCCCCCGCGTTGCACATATTTTATCTGTCCAAGGGCAATAAATAAAATAAACCTTTATTGTTGCTCTTTTAAATTCTTATATTTATCTTATGACAAAGAAGGCTAGAGAGCAAATGCAATGCAATTTGCAATATAATTAATATTTCCAAGGGGCATAACTCTTTTAAAAATAATAGAAGGGCACGGATTTTCGAACTTATCCGAGACATTGCTGATATGATAAGTTTCATAAAAATCTGGCAAGAATTGTATAAATGAGAGCGCTAACAATGCAATTTTCCATATTATTAATATTTCCAAGGGGCATAACTCTGTTAAAAATTATTGATCAGCACTGATTTTTCAAATTTGTCTGAGACAATGCTAATATAAACCTATGATATAAGTTTTATAAAAATCTGGCAAGAAATGTACAAGTGAGAGCTCTAACAAGACCGGAGGGACAGAGGCACAGATGGACGGAAGCCCGATATTTCTATGTCCCCCGCAACACACTGCACGGGGGACAATAAAATATGAGATTCTGAGCATTTGCATGACATACTGGATGGTTTTTCTTGTAAGCAACAATTTGGTGAAAACCCTTTATAAATTCTTTCTTGAACTGTTGATGTATATAAATGGACCAACGTCAAATATTTAAAAAGGTAATCCTGCATACAAGGACTGACAGATGTGTCATTGATTAATTCTACAACTCAGTGTCCAGAAATTGTGTGGATCAGTACATTACCTGAATCAGATTCTTGGGTATGTTCTTCATTCTGTATTTTGTTATTCAAAACTGTTTCTAAATGAGACTTCAACCTAAATTTTAAAAAAAGCTGATTATATGCCAGGAAACAAGGATTCTGAGAGGAGTGCAACAACTTACAATATTACAAAAAACTTCTATCGATAACTGTTACACTGTTGAACAAGGGAAATAAGTGTTGAAAGTTGTCACCAGATTACTTCAGTCAAAATTTAAAACAACATCCTAAATAACTTGTTGTTTTAGGTCAAGTTGCACTTAATGGCTCATGTCAAAGATTTTGTTCATAAAATTTTGCAAACAACTGCAGGTTCTTAAACTTGAATTAAAATTTTAAAAAAATAATGACTTTATCCCTTTTATTTTTCTGAAGTAGTATTGAAGGATTTAAAAAAAAAAAACTCATGTAAGCAGTCAATTGACAATTTAAGGTAAGTTGACTTATTTGTAGATCTTATTTTGCTGAAAACTTTTGCCTTCACAATTCCTCTCAAGCTATTATAGTTTCTACTAAAATGAGTATAGTTAGTCTTCCAAGGGCAATGTCAATTGACAGTTCGTATATGTTGACTCATTTCTAGATCTTATTGTTCTGGTCATTTTTACTGTCATTTTTACTGTTCAAAATTTCTTTCTATCTGTTATAATTTTCAAGATAATAAACAAAAACTGCAAAATTTGGAAACATTTGACATTTGCAATAACTCTAAAGGGAGTAGTCTGATTTTTCTAAAAATTCACAGGAGATAGACTTTGACCTGCTGGTCAATTTTAATTCTGTCAGAATTACTCTAACTGATTTAGTTTTTCAGATAAAAGCCAAAAAACTTTGAAATTAACTAAAACATTTACAATTCAGGGGCAATAACTCCAAAATGGGTTGTCCAATTTGTCTGAAAATTCACAAGAGATAACCTTGACCTTCTTATCAGTTAAAACCCCATATTAAATTTGCCCTAACTGATTTAGTTTTTGAGATATAAGTCAAAAACAACATTTTACCTCTATGTTGATTATTGTTCTATTTTTTGCAACAGCAGCCATGTTTGTTGATGAATCAAATCCCCAGATACTTTTTTACACTAGATACCCTACGGAACATTAAGGTGAAGTTTGATAGCATTTGGCCCTGTAGGTTCAAAGGAAAAGACTTTTTTAAAAGTTCATGACGATGGACAAAGACTAATGATGCAAAGTGATGGCAAAAGAGTGTACACGCTGAAATATCTCACCTACTATACTGACCATTGATTTTATGTTGATAGTCCTAAATATAAAGTTTTACTACAAGTATCACATTAAGTGCCAGTCTTTGTAAGAATCAGGCAATTTTGAAAAAAATCAAAACATGGACGAAAAAAACCCACCCATCTAACCATCCTATTTTGAAGTTACACTCATCCTGAGTTAGAAATGGTAGGTCTTTCTTTTCTGTATGTCTGGTATTTATAGAAATCTCAGATAAATTTTGGTTATAATGATAGCAAATTACAGAGTTAGCTCCCCTTAATTGTTAATTTCTAGTGCATTTCAACCAAATTATATCTTGAATTACCGGAACAGGACAAGTAAACAAATGTTATACACTTGCACTATTATACATTTTGAACATAAATTAATGTCAACTTGAGTGGGTTTTTGTTTGTCATTTTTTCACCACTGCCTGATTCTTAGACAGATTGGCACTTAACATTTATGATCTAAGAAAATGAGGTCAAGGTCAAATAAACCAAGTCAGAAATACATGTACACCTTTAATACAATTATTCCATACACTGAATATAGATGACCTATTGCTTATAGTATAAAAGAAACAGACCAAACCATGGATATTTTATATTGACCGATGAACCATGAAAATGAGGTCAAGGTCAAATGAACACTGCCAGACAGACATGTACACCTTAAAATCATTCCACACATCAAATATAGTTGATCTATTGCTTATAGTATCTAAGAAACAAAGTTAACCAGGAAAACTGAACATTGAACAATGAACCTTGAAAATGAGGTGAAGGTCAGATGAAACCTGCCAGACAGACATATATACCTTACAATCATTCCATACACCAAATATAGTTGACCTATTGCAAACAGTATTAGAAAAACAGACCAAAACACAAAAATTTAACATTGAGCAATGAACAGTGAAAATGAGATCAAGGTCAAATAAAACCTGCCAGACTGACATGTACATCGTAAAATATTTCCATACACCAAATTTAGTTGACCTATTGCATACACTATTAGAAAAACAGACCAAAACACAAAAACTTAACTTCAACCACTGAACCATGAAAATGAGGTCAAGATCAGATGACACCTGCTAGTTGGACATGTACACCTTACAATCATTACATACAGCAAATATAGTAGACCTATTGCTTCTAGTATCTGAGATATGGACTTGACCACAAAAACTTAACCTTGTTCACTGATCCATGAAATGAGGTCAAGGTCAAGTAAAAACTGTCTGACAGACATGAGGACCTTGCAAGGTATGCACATACCAAATATAGTTATCCTATTACTCATAATCAGAGAGAAATTAACATTACGAAAAATCTGAACTTTTTTTTTCAAGTAGTCACTGAACCATGAAAATGAGGTCAAGGACAATGGACATATGACAGACGGAAACTTCATATCATAAGGCATCTATATACAAAGTATGAAGCATCCAGGTGACTGTCTTCTACCTTCTGAAATATCAAGCTTTTAAGAAGTTAGTTAACGTGGCCGCTGTTGCCAGATCACTATCCTTATGTCGAACTTTCTGCGACAGAAGTCGCAAGCTCAACAAAAATATTTGCAATGAAAGCCATTAAACTATCATTTTTTTTACTGTTTTATCTCTTTGTTCATTTTTTTAAAAAGATTGAATCAGCAAAAAATTGAAACTAAACACAATAGGCTTGATTTTGAACAAATTTTGTTAAAATTGGTCAAGTGGCATTAGAGAGAAGAATCATTTAAAATGTCTTAAAGGATGAATAAAGTACACCCAGTAATGGCAACCTCTCACACTTCCTGTTTGGACCAAGAAAGAGCTAATAAGAGATATGGGATATACATCATTAAGAAAGCCACCAAACAACACAAAAAAACAAGACATCTATGGTATTCTTGAATAAAGATTAATGCCAAGCTGACAGAAGAGATCATTTGTATATTGTATACATCTATTAGACATTTTTCTGCATACTGCTGTACCTTTCAACTTTCTCACATTTAATACAATGAATATCTTTAATACAAACATATACGTCAATATTACCTATAGTTACTGAAATCTATGTCATTTTGTGTCTTTGGCAATCATACCACATCTTCATTATATATATATATATATAAATTTGTTTTAAGGTGTTTTAAGGAATGATATAATACCAATGTCTTTTTAACCAGTATATTTTCTCTCTTTGGTACTCAAGTTTTTTGTTGAAATTACATAAATTATTGTATACAGTGAATTTCTCTGCTTGAACTTCTCTAACTTGACCTTTCTATAAATATATAGCTCACCACATTATATTTCAAATACAATGCTAATGTTAATTAATTTTTACCAGCAACACAGCAAAATTGCAAGATGTTAAGTATAAAACAATATATGTATATAACCTATTGTATCCAATGGTATATACCTTGCTATTTCTTCCTTACATTCCTTCATCAGAGAGTTTTTTGGATCCCAGTTAACCTTGGCTTTGTTCTTAATGTTTTTGGCATGACTTGCAAATCTGTAAATATTAGCATAAATTCTTTTGAAATAACAAACATGCCCCAAACTATTTCTAAGATAAAACAACTGCTTGAAAAATTCAACATAAATATTGATGTCTTGCCTGTTTTTCAACCACTTCTTTTTGAATAATCACCATGGAAATAAGATGTCGCATGGCAGCTTACCAAATACAATTGACTGACTGGTTGCCCTTAATCTGACCTTACCTTATCATAAAGTTAAACATGTAAAATTCCCAAAATTTCAAAATTAAAGAACCTTTGTGAGCATGCTCACATACCCCATGCCCCCACATTGTCAGTGGGCAAACAAAATCTCCCTAGATTCCTAAGTTCAAAGACTCATAACTCCTACAAAAGTCAGCTTATATTTTTTTTCTTGTGGATATGCACATTAACATATTATGTCCTTATTATCTTTAAAGTTTCAGGAAATTCTGTTGTGTGGTTTCAGAGGAGTTGAGATGACAAACTGTTGCAGTAGTATATTGAGGCCAATAAGTGCAAAGGGCATAACTCCTAGAAAAAAAATTGAATCATAATTTCCTGTCGATATGCACATCTACATAGTATGTCCTTATTATCTACAAAGTTTCATGAAATTCTGTTGTGTGGTTTCAGAGGAGTTCCGATGACAAGAACACGACTGACAGACTGACGGACGGCGGACAGACGGACGGACAGACAGACAGACAGACAGACAGACAGACAGACAGACAGACAGAGGGATGTGTCAAAAACATTATACTGTAAATTCAGAAATTATTGCGATGTTTTTATTATTGCGAAAAATGCGACAGGGTTATAATCGCAATAATTTAAACTCGCATTTTGAAATATCTTATATGATTTAAACAGGATTTTTGTCAATATAGCAAAAATTAAAATCGCATTTTAGTCTAAAATGACAAAATCGCAATAATAAATGCACGCAAAAATTTCTGAATTTACAGTACCCGACGCAAAAATTGCGTGGGGTATAATAAATGGACTATGAATTTAAGTGACAGGGTCCCATAATATCCATGTAAATTAGATATGCTCATGTTTTTTCAATTGTTTACCAAATATAATTGGCTAATTATCAGTGGTTCCCCATATACTAATCTAATCACATACTTAAATGTAGACTCTTGTGGATAGTTTTCTCATTGGCAATGACACCACAACTCCTTACTTTTATATATGCAAATGTTCCAGTCAATGAATCATGACTAGGAGGCTTGTCAAAATAATCTCCATTGAATTGAGATACACAAATTCTAATACAACTGCATACCAAATAACATCTACATTCCATAAGTAGTTCCACTTCACCTGACCTAATCACAACTTTTAACAATTATTGAAGACAAGGACCACTGTTGCTAAGTAAATAACTTTTTTTAGCATATCTGCTGTTTTAACAACCAAATCTCATCTTTGTGACATGTTGAGTCAAGACAAATAACTGCAGTTTATCCATGATAGCTGGAAGTATGGAGACATTTTGATCTCCCTCACTCACTCTATTGATAGTTACACATTTCTTCTAGTAATCAACTGTATATATATTTGAGTCTCAAAAGTGCACACACTGAAACGTCTTGCTTGCTCTACTAACCATGCTTGATTTTATGTTAATAGTTACTACAATTATCATAGAATATGAGGTCAAGGTCAGATAATACATGTTGACCTACTGCATATACTTTACAAGAAACATATCAAACCATGAAAACATTATATTGACCAATGAACAATGAAAATGAGGTCATGGTCAAATGAACCCTGTCAGACAGACCTGTACATCTTGCAATCATCCCATGAACCAAATATAGTTGACCTATTGCTTATAGTATCTTAGAAGAAGACCTTACTACTGAAACTTAACATTGACCAATGAACCATAAAAATGAGGCCAAGGACAGACATGTACACCTTACAATCATTCCATACACCAGATATAGTTGACCTATTGCTTAAAGTATTAGAAAAACAGATCAAAACACAAAAAATTAACATTGACCAATGAATCATGAAAATAAAGTCAAGGACAACAGACAAATGAGACAGGAGCTTCGTAACAAAAGGCATCTGCTTACAAGGTATGAAGCATCTAGGTCTTCTACCATCTGAAATATAAAGCTTAATACAAATAGTTGGTAAACGGACAGAAAGTCACAGGACAAAAAGTCACAGGACATAAAGTCAAAAATTTGATAGGGCAAAAAGTCACAGGACAAAAAGTCACAAATAATTTGTTGACAATTGTTTGAATATATAAGAGAAAGATCTTGAAATATTTTCTTTTTATTACATATATTCATTTTTAAGTTTAGGAAATTGTTCATAAGCCTTGATAAATGAAAATTTATTAAATTTTAATCATGCAAAGGATATATTTCTTTGCCCAAAAAGAAGCCATTTAAGTATCAAGTCACTTTGACATGTTGTTTTCATAACAATTATTTGATCATTATTGATATTTATTGAATAAATTTTAATTACAAAGTTGCTTCATATATAATAGTTCAAGAAAAAAAAAAAAAAATTATTTTTAAAAAATTAGTTTTTTCTTTTTTAAAGAAAAATAATCTCAAAACTGAATTGTGACTTTTTGTCCTGTGACTTTTTGTCCGTGACTTTTTGTCTGTAACTTTTTGTCCTGTGACTTTCTGTCCTACATTCAAATAGTTTACACTGCAGCTGCCAGACTGTAATCCCTATGTCTCTCATTCTGCAAATTTCGTCGTAGCTGAGACAAAAAAACATCCACAAATTAAATAGGTATATCAGATCTTTTTGAATTGACTTTGAAGTGCAAAAACAGGAACAAGTCTTAAGATTTGTGCAATGATTCTAATAAAAGATAATTATCTAAGAACCAGATAAAATAATATCTTAAAATGTATAGATAAATACTTAGGTTCAACAAACGGCTTTGTTAGTGTCAATCTTATTTTCCAAATTAAATAATACAATAAACTCAGTATTGAGCTTTGTTTTCTCAATGACATCATGATCAGGATTACTGATCAAAAGTCAAAATTACCTATGTATACAAGCACTATAACACACTAAGGATTTCTATCTTGTAATATAGAAATTGGAAAAAAACATTGACAATATTAAAGGACATTTGTCATGCCCAAATATTTGTCAATACATTATAATTTCATCTTATTCATAGATATATACCTTTTACCAGTATCGTTGCATAAACCTTCAGACTTATGTACAAACGATTTGTGACATGATAATTGTAAAAAATACTAATAATCTAATAAGGTGAAATAATATTTTATAGACCAATATTTTGCACAACTGATGGCCTTCCTAAATGTAGATCTTTTTTCTAAATGCCATAATACAGTATGATTATGAGTTCTTTGTGTGTTCAAACAGCTCACTCATACTGTGTAATTTGTTATTGAATCTGTTATCCTGTACTTCATCAACAAAACTCAATACCATGTAGACATGACAGAGTGGCAACATAGAATATTACTATCTTTTATCAGTATTATTGCATAAATCTTTAGACTTTTATAATTTTCCTGATTGTGTAGTATTGTCAATTCTCAACTGTACCATACCTATTAAATTTTCTGGTTGGTTATTTTCTTTAAACTCTAATACATGTTATATATATATAAATACATGTAGAACTTAATTCTTAATGCTTTAGTATAAACCTGAACTGTTAATACTATCACATCAACACTTTTATTTTACAGGCAAAACAAGTGAAACTGCGAGCTACTGCTCACTGATGATACCCCAGCCCAAATACGGTACGTCTAAACACTGCTAAGGAGTCCTTAGTGCACTAAGGACGTATACTATGCCACTAAGGACTAGATGGGGTGCTGTTACATGTATTATTTTTCCATATTAAGTTAGAGATTGATATTTAATGCATAAATTAAAAAAATTATAGAAAAATAATCATAAATAAACGAGTTATTAAGCATTGTTTAAGCACGTGCCCATTTTTCTTTGATATGCCGAAAATCAGTGAACCGATTGACACGTGCCATATAACATAACAACTGAATAAACAATCATAATCTTTTTATTTTAAGTAATTAACAATTGTATCGAAAAGATTAATGTTTAATAATTTATAATTAAATATGTTGTTCTTATTTGCAATGATTAAAAGGACAAATAATTTTATTTATTTTTTATTTCTTTCTCGACAAAGTTATTTGCCATTTGTGCACGACTTTGATGTGCGCCAACTAATAAGTTAAGAGTGTGGTCAGCTTGTTAAATGTTTATGTAAGAGCATGGAAGTAATATTTAGAGATACCAAGACAAAAGGAATAGATATATTTATAAGCTTTTTGTTTTAATTTTAATTCTGACAAAGGTGCGTGTTTCATTAAAATTTATGAGTAAATTCTGAAAAAAATATCAAAACCGGGTGTTTGCTTTTCCACTTTCTATTACTGCTTCATACTTAGTACGAATTACGATTGAATTGAAAAAAAAATCATGTGACGTCCTTGGGGTTATTCTAAACCACTAGTTTTCAACCAGTTTGATAGCTGTTTACAAAGGCTTCATACCGTACTTATTTTTTCTTTTTGTAATTGTTCGACATTTGTTTTTTTCTCAAAGTATAAGAAGTTTAAATATCATTATCGAACTTGGAAGTTTCATTTTTAAATATATAAAGGAGACAAATGTTTTTTTTTAAATGTTCCACAGTTTTTAGCACATTATTTCCGAAAATTATCCCGGCCCGTATGTGTTAATTTAGAGCTTTAGATATAATTTTGACATAAAAAGGTTATGCTTCGTACGAATGCCTTGAAAATATGCTTTTTCATGATGTGAAAATAATCATTTTTTGTAATACAAGATAATTTGAATACTTTAAATCTCTCACGTGTAAAAATGAAAAAAAAAATAAGGATTTGTATAGTTTATTACTATATAAATCCTTGAAAAAACAAACAGAAATATTTTCAAATATATTTTCTTTAAATCTATTTTTCTTTAAGAAGAACAAGTATGTCAGAAGGAAATCCGATTTGTATTTTTTTAACCAAATTGTCTGTTTAAGATATTGTATGAAATAATGACTATGTTGTATATGCTTTACTCATTGTTGAAGGCCGTACGGTGACTTATAGTTATTAATTTCTGTGTCATTTTGTCTCTTGTGAAGAGTTGTCTCATCGCCAATCATACCACATCTTCTTTCTTATATTGGTTGCATGTAGTAAACATTTATTATCATATTGAATTCGTTTTTGTCCAGTAATACATTGCTTAACGTCTTCATATATGAATATAAATTTAGATATATTGCTCTGGAAACAAATCTATTATTTACAAGAAATAATTACAAAATACTCTTGAGAATCTGAAAAAAAAACACATGAATAAAATTTTAACAACTTATTCAGTGCGAAGTCAAATCAAAATTGATCACTGAAATATAATCTGAAAAACTATTCATTTATTAGTATCCAACTTTTCCAATATTGTCGATTAAACACAACAGATAGCAGGATTCCTGTGTAATCAGTTATGTAATTTGACACGTGTCTAACGGTTCATTGATTTTCGGCATATCAAAGAAAAACAGGCACGTGTCTAAACAATGTTGAATAACTCATTTATTTGTGATTATTTTTCTATAAAATTTGAATTTTATGCATTAAATATCAATATCTACAATAATATGAAAAGACATTACATGTAATAGCATCCCATCTAGTCCTTAGTGGCATATCATAGGTCCTTAGTGCACTAAGGACTCCTTAGCAGTGTTTAGACGCACCCGCCCAAATATGGATAATTTTAATAGTGTAAAAATATGTAAGTGTTTGGTAAACAGGAAGTTATTTAGTGATGAATCTGAAAACGCATCACACAATATAGCTCACTCATATAAACCTTGAAACCAAATTTCAGAAATCCTTGTAATGTAGTACCTGAGAAAAATGCGACGAAAAATATTCATGGGACGGACGGACGTACTGACGGATGGACGGACAGACAGAGGTAAAACAGTATACCCCCACTTTTTTAAAGCGGGGGTATGAAAATCTATATATATTTGTTAAGAAGACATTTTGATATTTGAAAAAAATACATGTCATTCATTAAATTTACAATTCTTTACACATGATGGGAAAGGAGGTATATGGTTTATTATTGACACAAAACCCAAATCATGTCAAACCTGCCACTTGTTTAGTTAACTTGTCATGTCATTAGTTAACTTGTCATGTCAACCCTGCCACATGTTAAGTTAAGATGTCATGTCAACCCTGCCACAAGTTTACTAAAACTAGTCAGCAACTTGATCAATGGGTGTCTGTTGTTGTATCTTAATGTTTAATTTTGTCATTTAAGAAATTTTGTATTAATTGCAGAACTTGAGTAATCTCTGTTTAATTTAATCACATATTTTCAAGACTGAAGCAATAAAGAGTGCTTGACATATGGTATAGACACTTGTCTAATGTTAAAGACTGTTTACCTATACTCTTTTGTGACTTTGGGTTACTGTCTCATTGGCATATGCACGTCTACTTTTATTCATATATTATGCCTTTTACCAGCTGTGAAAGTTTGAGATACATTTAAAGCCAAACTTCCCATCTTTATTTATAAACATATAAAATGGTGAATTTGACATACATACCTTAGAGTACTTACTGTTTCATCATGATTATAACTTGATGGACCAATGTTAGCTATCCATACAGTTTTGGCATTTCCTCCTAATGACTCTAGGAAATAAATGAAACTACATTAATTTGCAGTCCTAGTGTGGTACAATGTTTACTCTCATTACAACAATTTCAACTAATAAATGTCCAGAGGATCTTTTATATCCCATTGAAATGAGAAATTCAGCTGCTCAACTAAGTTTAATTGGCAGTTCATAAAAGATCTACATAAAGTTTTATTCCCGTTTGAATGGTTTTACACTATTAATTTTTGGGGCCCTTTATAGCTTACTGTTCGGTGTGAGCCAAGGCTCTGTGTTGAAGACCGTACTGTGACCTATAATGGTTTACTTTTATAAATTTTGACTTGGATGGAGAGTTGTCTCATTGGCACTCATGCCACATCTTCTTATATCTATTAAAAATCTTTTTATTTTCTGGTGCCCTTTTCTGTGACATGAGCAGCAATTGCTTTGTACTACATGTATTTGGGATAAAACATTTTTTCAGTGAAATTGCTTGGCTGACTGGGAACATTCACTATGATTAAATAAAATTAGAGGCTCTGAAGAGCCTGTGTCGCTAATCTTGACTTATTTATAGATCTTGTCCTGCTGATCATTTTAAGGGCAATAGTTGACTGACGATTTGGGCTATGTTGATATATTTGTAGATCCTGTCTTGCTGATCATTTTGCTATTTAGATTTCTATCTATACATTAGTTCTTTTCAAGATAAAAGGCAATTTTTTGGTATCTAAAGTTTTTATCTAACTATTATAGTTTTAAACATTATGGGCAAAAACACAGAGAATTACTAAAAATTGTCATTTACGGGCCATAACTCCAATAAGAAGGCTAATGATGACTTGGGCTATGTTGACTTATTTGTAGATCTTGTCTTGCTGATCATTTTTGCTATTTAAAGTTTCTATCTATCTATCTATCATAGTTTTGAAGACAATAGACAAAGAAGCAAAAAAAATGGTAAATATCCAGTCGTCCAACAGATATGTACTGATAGTAATTCAACTTTATATCAAATATCAATGATCTACCACAAGTAGTTCCTATCAAACTAACTTAAGCATAAAACTTAACATATGTTGACGCCGTAGTCTCTGCAGCCGTTGCCAGAAAAGCAATTCCTATGTCTCCCTTTCTGCGACTTTCATCGCAGGCGAGACAAAAAATCGATAATAATGTAATAAAATTTTCATTTTTTTCTTGTTACAAGAAAATGCAAGCAAGTTTGGTGACATAATTTTTTCTTTATAATTTCTTTAAGCATATTATAAAACCTATCTTCTCATATTTTATTTCAAAATTCTATCTCCTAGATTTCTTTTTATTTACAAAGAAGTGTTTTTTCCTAAACAATCTATGCAAAATTGGGCAATTTAGCACTACTTGTAGCTCGAAAAATAGCATGATGACCCTTACTTTTCCTTATATTTTTGAAATAAACACGGTTAAATCTACATTTTGGCAAAGTATTAGAAAATTCTATCAGAGGAAATATATAGTGATGATCCACCTTAACAACAAATGTTAAGTTAATGATATTTGGTATGCAGTTGTATAAGCATTTGCAAGTCATGGTTGCTGAACTATGAAAATGAGGTCAAGGACAAAGGACATATGCCAGAGGGAAACCAGAACAATGGAAACTCTGGTGGATAGTTGTCTCATTAGCAATCAAACCATATCTCCTTACTTTTATATATATATATGTTAAGCTTAAAACAAATAGTGTATGCTGTCACTGCCACCTGCTTAGCATTCTTATGTATTGTATTCATCAACATTTGTCACATAAAAGAAAATTACAAATTATCCTGACCATTAAAAAGAAGGAGTGGTCTAGTATATATTAATGCCACAGCAAATCCAATACTTCTTAACACAGAAAAGTTAATTATTAGAAATGACAGAAAAATGTTTAAATTTTAACTTATTTTCATAAAGCTTTCAAAAGTGTTTCTGGCTGTTATGTTCAAATTTCCTATTGAAACCATTATGTCTTAAACTGTTTTCCATTAAAAAAGTTAGGTATTATATTTTCCCTTATTAAAGTTTTTAATATAACAGAGTTGGATGCTATTTTCAAGACAAATAATTTTAAAATGTCATTTTAAGAACCTAATTTTGAAAAAAGTTTTAATGATATCTTATATAATATTTTCAAAATGATATGATTTTTCTTTCCTTTATGAAAAGAATTTACCACCCAAAAATAACCAACACAGAAAATAAAAATAATTTTACCTCTCAGTAATCTTGTGACCTTTGAGTCTCTGTATGGGATATGTGTTGAATGTTCATCATCCAGAGCACATATAACATTACTTAAAGCTCTGTTATATGAGTGTCCCATTCCAATGCTTGTCGCCTCTTTTAATCTCTCTCCCTGATAAAATATAGAATTACCTTGTAATAACCTAGTGAGTTTGGAGTCTCGATAAGGTATAATATTGTTCCCATCTGACATGACAGTAATTATATTTCTCAAACATGTAATAGAACAATACAAACTTCTTGCCTCTTTTAGAACATTACCCTAAAAATATACAAAAATCTCCAATTGTTTTATACATAGATTGTTCTTTAACTATTCAATATAATGGTCATTACTTTGATTCAAAATTCTTTTCAAACAAATTTCATAATTTATCAGAAGAAATATGGTCTATCAAAATTGCAACTTTTATTCCAACTAATTCCCAAAAAAATTCTCAATGTTTACACAGGAAATTGATAATATTCCATTACTGCAAAAATGATTTCAAAAAGCTAAACAATGAACCAAAAATTTAATATCTAAAGTTCCAATTAGACAGTCAAAAACAAGTAGCTGAATTTGTCCATGGTAGACAAGCCAAAAACAAGTTGAACTGTGAGCTATTGCTCATTAATGAAACCCCTGCTATTTTAGAAAACTTGAAGTTGATGAGTGATGGATGTGAAAGTCCTCAATTTGTAGTTTCTGAGAACAATGCAATCAAAACTTTGTGCAACAGAAGCAGGAACAGAAAAATATCAACCAGTATACCCCCTCCTTCCAAGCAAGGTATAATAAAAATATGTCCATTTGTAAAGTAATACCTGAGAATTGGCTTTGGGTGCATACATAGATCTGGATGCAGATGGTCTACTCCAATAGCCTGCCTCAACTTTGCTGAGACAAAGTAAAGACTGCATTCAAATACAAATGGATTGCTACGCCATAGTTAAATGTCTCCAGTTACTGAGTAACCATGAAATACAATTGTCTCTACAGTAGATTGTTTTACAACAGATACACAGATTACAATACCAGTACAGTTTGGAACTTTAGTTATTATCAATGTAATTATTGGCATTTCAATTGACATGCAGTCATTTTAAGAATTCAGCAAGCAACATTACCACCAACAATTTTGTAGCTATCTAATCAAGGATTACAAAATCAGGTAACCTGTTGATTGAAGTATTTAATGGTCTTAAAGGAGTTGTCTTCACAAGGCGATATTGTCCAACAATGGCAAAAAAAGTCTCATAACTTCCCAAAATTTGTTTTAATCAAATTGATGGTATATTATGGTTAGCTGCACATGATGACAAATAATCCTACGAGCGAGAACAAATTAACAAAAAATACAATAGGTATATGATTATATGCATATACTACCAAGTATGAAAGCTTTCTGTCAAAAGTTCTGAGAGGAGTTGACCTCACAAGGTGTCAATGTTTTACAAAAGTAAACTAGAACTGTCAGTGAACTCACTATACGATACCCCCTCCCCACAATACTATTAGTAAATTTAAGTACATACCGGTAATGTAATTGCATTTGATTATATCCCCTTTAACATGCTTGAAAGGGTTGTAATCCTCTATGGACACCCTTACATATAACAACTGTGTGAAGTTTCATTAATATCCATCTAGCCATTCAGGAGGAGAAGTTGGGCTTACAAGGTCCATGGACAGCCAGACAAACACAGACAGAATAATGGATAGATAGACTGGTTGATTTGTATAAACCAGCAAAACTTTGTTTGAGGGAGGGTAATGGTCAAAGTCAAAGTTCCATTACGCCTGCAAAACTTGTCAATTTAAACTAATGGAAGATTATGGTTATTTAAATATAATGACAAGAAACCTGTTTAAATATAAAAACTTTCAGGCAAAAGGCCTAAGAACATTGATATGTTATACAGGCTCGTTGGTCAAGTGTATGATACACTCATATTGTGTATTTTGATATTGTTTAAATAAAAAAGGGATAATAAGAAGGCATTCATTCAAATGCAAATAAAATGGCTCTGTAGAAAAAAACATGCATAAGGCACATAAATATTGTGTCAAATATGACTGTTAAAAGTCCAATAACTCTGAAATGACAAACCAGAAAATTTTCAAAATAAAAAATGAGTCTACATTCACCAATCCTAAACTCAGCATTAAGTTTGAAGTAATTTGATCCAATCAAATGTCAAAAATTGCATTAAATTAAAAAAATGCCTTTTATTTATCTGTAGGTCGAAGTCCCATCACTATGGAGTGACACATCAGAATTTTTAAAATCAAACAGAGTGTTATGTTTCAACAATTTTAACAATTATGGAAAGTTTCCAGTAAATTAAGCCAGCAAACTCAAGTTATTGCACAACCTGCTGAAAAACTTACTAAAATCAGAAATATAAAGTCCTGTGGACCATGCCCTAGGGGGCAGGGCCTCAAAATAGTCGTCAAACTGATATGTACTGATAGTAATGCAACTTCAAACAAAATACCATTGATCCATCACAAGTAGTTCCTATCAATCTAACGTAAGCCGATGTGTATGAATTGTTTATAAAGGAATTAAGAAGGGTTATGAATGAAAGCAAAATAATTTCTCAAAATGTATTTTTCATAAATTTGAAGAAATTGATTTAATAGAATAATTTGTATATATTGTAATAGTTAATGTAATATTGTTTATTATATTCTGAGTATGTTCCTGGCAACTCAGTTTTTTTTCACAGGAAAACTCCACTGGCTCTTGGACAGTGAAGTATAATTGTAACAAGCAATCTTTAGAATAAAGAATATATTTGTTGTTAAAAAAAAAAAAAACATTTAAAATTGCTAATTAATTCAAAGTCACTGGTCATGGACCATGACCTAGGGGGCAGGGCCTCAAAATAGTCGTCAAACTAATATGTACTGATAGTAATGCAACTTCATACAAAATACCATTGATCTATCACAAGTAGTTCCTATCAATCTAACTTAAGCAGAAAACTTTACATTTAAAATTGCTAATTAATTCAAAGTCACTGGACCCTGGCTTGGGGGCAGGGACTCAAAATGGTTGTCAAACTGATATGTACTGATAGTAACGCAACTTCATACAAGATATCATTGATCTATCTCAAGTAGTTCCTATCAAACTAACTTAAGCAGAAAACTTAACAATTGTTGACGCCGTCATCGCAGCTGTCGCCGGAGAAGCAATCCCTATGTCTCACTTTCCGCGACTTTCGTCGCAGGTGAGACAAAAATAGAGGCTTTAAAGAGCTTGTGTAGCTATACTCGACCTATGTGCAGTTTCAAAAGCAGTAATTCTTCTACATTAAAAGGACATTAGCTGTGAGATATAAAAAAAATTAAAATATGATTTTTTTTTGTTCAATCATTTATCAAAGTGAAATAATAATTCGCTTTTAGCAGACAGTTTAGTTAAATTTTGTCAAAATAAGCTAAGAAACATTGCTGATGAATTATTCAGTTGCAAGTGAATAATAATCGACCTCATTGAATTCGTATTCATGTGACCTTCAATTTAATCCATTAGCTAGAGATTGGTTACGCATGTATTAGTCGTGTTCAGCCATTAAAAGGAAAAGAATGTCAACATTGAAAGTGAAACAAAGGTGAACCATTTCATTGACTGATTCAATCCATTAAAAATCATTGGAGATATGATTACCTGAGCTTGTGGTTTACTTATTCTCTCACTACCAGCAAAGTCTACTAAATTTAAGCGTCCAACTCTTGTGTGATATTCTCCATCTCCATCCATCTGTCATAAAAAAACATGTCTTTAATAAAATATATTAAATTGTGGCATTACCATGACTTGACCATAAAAGTTTTGATCATTATATATCAGTATCATTATGAAAAAATCTGACTGAACTACGATTTGTTTTGTAAAATCAAACTACTCAGTTGTTCTCATTCCTAATATAAAAATATACAAGCTTATTAGATGTTATGGAAATATTAGATAAAAGGACTGACAAATGATGGATGGAATGGATTTTAGAAAGAATGGATTGACAGACAAGCGCATTGCAATTTATCACCCTCTCTGTAAATGGGGGTAAAAATTAAATGTCTACTTATCTACTAGACATATCTACAGAGAAGCAATATGACAATTTCATCTACATACATACTTTACAGCATTCTATAGTGATAGTAAATATTGAATATGCTCTGGCAGAAGCTCTACTCATAAATGTATCTCTGAAAAAGACAGACCACATCAGATCAACAAGAAATGATTGTAACAGGATGCTGTTACGAAGTCTCCCAAACGAAGCTCCCATAATTCGTAATTCCCAGGGTCGCCTGACATTGGGCAACGTCCAGTGAAAATTGGTTTGGTCCAGTAAAGTTATATGCATTAGTGATGCCTGGGGACTAACCTTGTATATCATTCAAATCATCTTGGCATGACAAACCAGAATATATATGGTTTAGGGGTGGGGATCTCGACCATTTACAAGATATTAGAACATTGGGGATGGGGGGAACCCCTGGGGACTGACCGTATACGTCATTCAAATGTTCGAGACATGACAAATAGGAATATATATGGTTTAGGGGTGGGGATCTCAACCATTTACAAGATATTAGAACTTTCTAAAATGGCAGGGGGTCGGGATGACCCCTGGGGACTAACCCTGTATATCATTCAAACCATCTTCGCATGACAAACCAGAATATATATGGTTTAGGGGTGGGGATCTTGACCACTTAGAAGATATTAGAACTTTCTTAAATAGCAGGGGGTGGGGGTGACCTCTGGAGACTAACCCTGTATTTCATTTGATGTGCTTTATCATGACAAACCAGAATATATATGGTTAAGGGGTGGGGATCTCGACCATTTACAAGATATTAGAACTTTCTCAAATGGCAAGGGGTGGGGGTGACCGCTGGGGACTAACCCTGTATAACATTTGATGTGCTTTATCATGACAAACCAGAATATATATGGTTTAGGGGTGGGGATCTCGACCATTTACAAGATATTAGAACTTTCTCAAATGGCAGGGGGTCGGGATGACCCCTGGGGACTAACCCTGTATATCATTCAAACCATCTTAGCATGACAAACCAGAATATATATGGTTTAGGGGTGGGGATCTTAACCACTTTCAAGATATTAGAACTTTCTTAAATGGCAGGGGGTGGGGGTAACCCCTGGGGACTAACCCTGTATTTCATTTGATGTGCTTTATCATGACAAACCAGAATATATATGGTTTAGGGGTGGGGATCTCGACCATTTACAAGATATTAGAACTTTCTCAAATGGCAGGGGGTCGGGATGACCCCTGGGGACTCACCCTGTATATCATTCAAACCATCTTAGCATGACAAACCAGAATATATATGGTTTAGGGGTGGGGATCTTAACCACTTTCAAGATATTAGAACTTTCTTAAATGGCAGGGGGTGGGGGTAACCCCTGGGGACTAACCCTGTATTTCATTTGATGTGCTTTATCATGACAAACCAGAATATATATGGTTTAGGGGTGGGGATCTCGACCATTTACAAGATATTAGAACTTTCTCAAATGGCAGGGGTCAGGATGACCCCTGGGGACTAACCCTGTATATCATTCAAACCATCTTAGCATGACAAACCAGAATATACATGGTTTAGGGTCGGGGATCTTGACCACTTAGAAGATATTAGAACTTTCTTAAATGGCAGGGGGTGGGGGTGACCCCTGGGGACTAACCCTGTATTACATTTGATGTACTTTATCATGACAAACCAGAATATATATGGTTTAGGGGTGGGGATCTCGACCATTTACAAGATATTAGAACTTTCTCAAATGACAGGGGGTGGGGATGACCCCTGGGTACTAACCCTGTATATCATTCAAACCATCTTAGCATGACAAACCAGAATATATATGGTTTAGGGGTGGGGATCTTGACCACTTACAAGGTATTAGAACTTTCTTAAATGGCAGGGGGTGGGGGTGACCCCTGGGGACTAACCCTGTATTTCATTTAATGGGCTTTATCATTTAGAACATTTTCAATTAAAAAGTTTGTGTCTATCACGAACGGTTTTCAATTTATAATCATTTGAAAATTTAAAAAAATAAAATCCCATAGGCTTCTATAGTAAAACCCTCTTTTCTTTTTGCCCCTCAAAGTACCCCTTTATAAACCCCATTGCAAAAACAAAACCCTGATTGCACCACTAGACATGTTAGTCTAACATATTGTGAAACCCTAAGTTAATCCGACAAGCGGTTTTGGAGAACGGGTGCGGACAAGTTCAAATTTAAAAGCGGCGGAAGAAGAAGAAGAAGAAGAAGAAGAAGAAGAAGAAGAAGAAGAAGAAGAATAATAATAATAATAAGAACTGAGCAAAAACAATAAGTCTTCCCAAACTTCGTTTGGGAGACTTAATAAAATAAAGGCTAGTGCTTAAAGCATACATGCAGATTCGATTTATCAATGAATCTTTATATAACATAGTTTGAAATACAATAAATAGTAATAGGTATATATAATGAACAAGAGAATATTTAGAGCCTCAATCGTTCACCTGTCAAAAATTGAAATAATAGGCAATAACTCAAAAGTTAGTAAAAAATTGTCTTTTAAGGGCAATTGCTACTATAAGTGGTCAGTCAATGGTTTCTGTCATATTAGAATTCTTATAGATCTTGTATACCAATCATTTTTGCTGTTAACAGTTTCTACCTATCTATTATATTTTTCAGGATTAGGGCTTTTCCAGAATTAATTGAATGAGGGAAAGGGAGGAGGGGGGTAGGGGGAGGTAGGAAGGCACTATTATTAAAATTTGATGGGTGGTGGTTATTTTAGACAGATAGCCTTAACAATTATATGAAATAATCATTTAAAAGTTCATGCATGGCGAGGTTAAATTGACTTCCATACTTTTATTTCTGGAATAGCTCTTAGATGCAAGTACTCGAAAATTAGTAAAAAAAAATCTTCTTTTAAGGGCAATAACTCCTGTAAGGAGCCATCTGTTTGTTACAGTCATTTTGGCATTTTTGTAAATTTTGTATAGCTGATCATTTTTTGCTATTCACAGTTTCTACTGAGTACTTATCTATTATAGTTATCAAGATAATTGGAAAGAACATGTAAATTAGTCAATAATTTGGGTGCAAACAGGAAGAAGGTAGGTATTGACATTTTGAGCATTTTTTACACAATTAGATTTTCTCTATCTGTTACAGTTTTTCGAGATATAAGACTGTTAATGCATTTTACCCTTATGTTCTACATTTAGCCATTGCAGTCATGTTTGTTGACTGACTGAAAAAAAAACACAATCTTATACAAAATAACATTAGGACCATTCACCCATAGTTTGGTTGAAATTGGTTCAATTGTTTCAGCAGAGATCATTGAAAAAGTAAATGATAGACATGTAATCAAAATCAATCAAACAATAGTTCATTCCTTTTGAAACTGTATCTTTTTGTCTGTTTAATATTCTTAAATAAATAGATAGAACAACTGCATCTATGATCATCTATCTTCATGTTTTGTTCAAAAGGCCTATTTCATCAACCGGTTCCTTGACAGGTGTCAAAACATATATATTTGGATACAGAAGTATGAGGACATCCGACAAAGTCGTCAATAACAGTAGATAAACTGTTGACACAGAGATATGTCCACCCTTTTGTAATTTTGATAGTATAATGTAAATGTTGAAATTAAAATGGGATACTTAAAAATGTAAGCTATGCAAAACATTAAAAGTCAATGAGGGTGCAGGGCAAAATAAAACCTCCATGGAAACAAGAAATGGAAAAGCTTGTACAACTGCATACCAAATATTATTGACCTACAACTATAAACTGACCTAAACCCAATCTTTAACATTTTAACTCTATGCAAAACATTCGTGGTCAAAAGACCATAACTGAGGAGGCAGTCCAAATATATCTCAAAGGGAGTTTGAAAGTTACTTCAAGCAATTACATTGCATTGATGTTTTACAGTTATGTCATCCCTTAGTTAAACACTCATCAAAGGATAGAAGCATTTTCACTTCTCATTTTACATTTCGTCATTTTGCAAACATTCGACTTTACTGGACTTCTAAACTTCTTAATGACAGAAGTAAAAACCTGAGTTTTCCAAATGCTTTAGAGTTATCAACCTTTGACTAGTTTGAAAGCAGTAACTTTTAACAACACAGATTTTTTTCACAATCTATTCAGTTTGAATTGACATATTAAAGTTAATTTGGGAGTTCAATATTTTTGTTATACTTTTTTTGAAATGGCCTTATTGGTTTTCTGTATGGATCACTGGTGTTGTTTTTTAACAGTTTGCATATTTCGGTGATATTTACTCAATGGTTTTATATGCAAGTAAGCTGCATGTATTCATGTGTATTTATTTGGACGAAAATATACCTACTGCTAAATTTATGAAAATAAATATAAAGCGAAAAAGGTACATATACATATATAATACACTATTACTGTGACTTATAAATAAGTGTACTTACTTTTTAAGCCTGTTTTCATGCCCTGTTCTAAAAGCATGTTCCATTTCTGTGACATTTTTGGTGACAAATGACAACTGATCCTAAAATATCATTGAAATCTTTTAAAACATTTATAGATTTAACTCCTTAAAAAATGTGTTCCTGTAAATTTCATGATAACTTAAAATAAATGATTTACAATTTTCATCTCCTGTAACAAGCTCTGAAAGATAGTTGTAATTATTTTCCAGTTCCATTTGACAAAGATTTAATGTTTTGTAGTGGAACCTTTTTAAGATTTAACAGACAACAAATGATTTTTTTAACATTATTCCATCCCCTACAAAAATATTAAAATATCAGAAAAAGACAATGATTCAAGGTCATAGGGGCTAAAATACCTTATATGTCTTATGTAAAATATAAAAAAATAATTCCTTTCATTCATGATTTCAAATCTGAATGTCATATTATATTTTGTCCATCTGTATATATATTTTATATAAGCTCTGCATTATTTTACAGAGTATTTTTTATTTACCTCCATTTGAGAGATTTTGATTACATATATTTATACAGATTTATTTCTGTTATATTGTCAAAATAATCGAAGAATGTGTCTATTTGGACACAGATGCCCCCGCTTGTAAATATACAGCAAATTCTGCAATTTTTCAATTTACAAAGGGACATAACTCAAGAATGGCAGAAGTGACGCCACCTTAATGCTATCTTGATCTGTGTTTGGTGTTAATAGTCATTGTGTATAAGTTATATAACATTTGGTTGAGGCAAATTAGAGTGAAGAAACGGCAAATTTGCCAATTTTTCCATTTATTAAGGGACATAACTCAAGAATGAAAGTGATGCTACCCAAATTCAAACTTGATCTGAGTTTGGTGGAAATAAGCATTGTGTATAAGCTTCATAACATTTGGTTGAGCCAAAATAAAGTTAGAGAATGGAAACTTATTTTGGGACGTATGGATGGATGGACATACGGTCATATGAAGAGATGTACTTACGTACGTATAGACAAACTTTAGGCAATAAAATCATGATTGACATATAGTGCAAACATAAAAGTTATTAACATAAACCCAGAGTTGGTAACAGTCTACTGACATTTTATGAAATTAAACTTGTAATTTAGGATTCTATTCAAATTATGTTTTTGGTCACCTCTGTATTTCTGTACCATTACACAGCTGGATTTGACTTAAATATGTGTACCTTTACGTAAACTCCTGTTTCTGGGTTTTCCTTGATATCATATTTCTTTGTAAAATCTTTAGACAACAAATCTGTGATCTCTTCCTTTTTAACATATTAAATAATTAATAAATATCTTCTTCATAAAAAAATATAATACTCTACAATACAAGATTTGTAAAAGCAAACAACTATTAACCTAATTCAAGGAACTTCTGATATTTCTAGATGTACTATTTTTTAACCTTCAGTGTATATTCATACTACACATGCTCCATTATACACCTTTCAATCTTCAATGTATATTCATATTATTCATGCTCTGTAATACACCTTTCAACATTATGTGTAAATTCATACTATACATGCTCTGTAATACACCTTTCAACATTCAGTGTACATTCATACTACACATGCTCTGTAATACACCTTTCAACATTCAGTGTACATTCATACTATACATGCTCTGTAATACACCTTTCAACATTCAGTGTACATTCATACTACACATGCTCTGTAATACACCTTTCAACATTCAGTGTACATTCATACTACACATGCTCTGTAATTCACCTTTCAACATTCAGTGTACATTCATACTACACATGCTCTGTAATACACCTTTCAACATTCAGTGTACATTCATACTATACATGCTCTGTAATACACCTTTCAACATTCAGTGTACATTCATACTACACATGCTCTGCAATACACCTTTGAACATTCAGTGTACATTCATACTATACATGCTCTGTAATACACCTTTCAACATTCAGTGTACATTCATACTATACATGCTCTGTAATAAACCTTTCAACATTCAGTGTACATTCATATTACACATGCTCTGTAATTCATCTCTCAATATTCAGTGTATATTCATACTATACGTGCTCTGTAATACACCTTTCAATATTCAGTGTATATTCATACTATACATTTTCCCTTTTGAATGGTTTTACACTAGTCATTTTTGGGGCCCTTTATAGCTTGCTGTTCGGTGTGAGCCAAGGCTCCGTGTTGAAGACCGTACTTTGACCTATAATGGTTTACTTTTACAAATAATGACTTGGATGGAGAGTTGTCTCATTGGCACTCATACCACATCTTCTTATATCTATATGCTCTGTAATACACCTTTCAATATTCAGTGTATATTCATACTATACATGCTCTGTAATTCACTTCTCAATATTCAGTGTATATTCATACTATACATGCTCCATAATACACTGCTCAACTTCAGTGTATATTCATACTACACATGCTCTGCAATAGATCACTCAACATTTAGTGTACACTCATACTATACATGCTCAGTAATACACCTCTCAACATTCAGTGTAAATTCATTCTATACATGCTAAGCAATAGATCACTCAACAATCAGGGTACACTCATACTTTACATGCTCTGCAATAGATCACTCAACAATCAGGGTACACTCATACTATACATGGGTAAGCAATAGATCACTCAACAATCAGGGTACACTCATACTATACATGCTCTGCAATGGATCAATCAACAATCAGGGTACACTCATACTATACATGCTCTGCAATAGATCACTCAACAATCAGGGTACACTCATACTATACATGCTCTGCAATAGATCACTCAACAATCAGGGTACACTCATACTATACATGCTAAGCAATAGATTACTCAACAATCAGGGTACACTCATACTATACATGCTAAGCAATAGATCACTCAACAATCAGGGTACACTCATACTATACATGCTAAGCAATAGATCACTCAACAATCAGGGTACACTCATACTATACATGCTCTGCAATAGATCACTCAACAATCAGGGTACACTCATACTATACATGCTCTGCAATAGATCACTCAACAATCAGGCTTCACTCATACTATACATGCTCTGCAATAGATCACTCAACAATCAGGGTACACTCATACTATACATGCTCTGCAATAGATCACTCAACAATCAGGGTACACTCATACTATACATGCTTAGCAATAGATCACTCAACAATCAGGTTACACTCATACACTCATACTATACATGCTCTGCAATAGATTACTCAACAATCAGGGTACACTCATACTATACATGCTCTGCAATAGAATACTCAACAATCAGGGTACACTCATACTATACATGCTCTGCAATAGATTACTCAACAATCAGGGTACACTCATACTATACATGCTCTGTAATAGATCACTCAACAATCAGGGTACACTCATACTATACATGCTCTGCAATAGATTACTCAACAATCAGGGTACACTCATACTATACATGCTCTGCAATAGATCACTCAAAAATCAGGGTACACTCATACTATACATGCTCTGCAATAGATCACTCAACAATCAGGGTACACTCATACTATACATGCTCTGCAATAGATTACTCAACAATCAGGGTACACTCATACTATACATGCTCTGCAATAGATCACTCAACAATCAGGGTACACTCATACTATACATGCTCTGCAATAGATCACTCAACAATCAGGGTACACTCATACTATACATGCTCTGCAATAGATCACTCAACAATCAGGGTACACTCATACTATACATGCTCTGCAATAGATCACTCAACAATCAGGGTACACTCATACTATACATGCTCTGCAATAGATCACTCAACAATCAGGGTACACTCATACTATACATGCTCTGCAATAGATCACTCAACAATCAGGGTACACTCATACTATACATGCTCTGCAATAGATCACTCAACAATCAGGGTACACTCATACTATACATGCTCTGCAATAGATTACTCAACAATCAGGGTACACTCATACTATACATGCTCTGCAATAGATCACTCAACAATCAGGGTACACTCATACTATACATGCTCTGCAATAGATTACTCAATATTTGCTATTCACATGAATTGGTGAATGAATATAAAATGAAGCACTAAGACACTCTTTGCACACTATGATAGAGAACATAATTTTCCCTGTTTAATAAACTTTTCAATAGCTGTTGTTAAATGATTTTGTGTATTTAATTTAATCTTTAAGAATCAATTATTACTATTCACCTTCGAGTGCACGTTTGTTTACATTCTGTCATCAGGGTTTTCCCTCGCACTTGCACTGGCCGAAGTTCTAACGAAAGGTCTCATAGTCAAGGTCACTGCATAAGGAAAAATATCGACAATGTATACGGAAAGACAATAATTCAATAGCAGTACATTTCTGAAGATTTTGATAAGATAAAAGATTTTCTTTCACAAGAAAGTCCATACACACTTGTTTTATAATACAACTTAGCCATTCAAGTATATAAAACATCTTCAACTTTTTTTTTAAATTTGAAGTTTCATATGACTTTAAGTTGAATGATTTTCAGAGCAAAAAAGGATTACACATGTTTTTCACACACTTTGTGTAATGCTATACCATGTCATGACATAACTTCACACTGCCAGAGCCTCAGAGGTGATTGGTCTTAAGAGTTGAACGATGCACAGTCTGCGGGCTGAATGCTTCTTACTATCTGATTGGAAGATAATTACTGATTCTGTAATAGTGAAGTTTGTTGATTGGTTGGGACAATCATAACCTAGTAAATGTCTGTTAATCCCATAGAGTGTCGGATTTGAACTCTTTATTTTAGCAATTAATGATTGTAATAGCTTAACATCAGAGGTGATTGTAATAGATTAACATCTAAGATAACACCTAGTAGACAATCAAAACTAATACATACCATGTATATGTCTAAGTAAGATGCATGTACAATATAGTGTTCATTTTCTGCATGAGAAATGTAGTTAAATATATGTTCAAATGTTCTGTTCATTAGTCCTCTATTATCAGATTCATCAGTAACACCTTCATAATAAAATAAATACTTTTGATTTGTTAATAAAAATAATTATAAAGTTATTGGAAAAATACTTGTTTAAAATACAATGGCAATGACTTGTGAGTGCTATTTATATTCAGCATGAGGCAGTATTCTGTTGCAAATTTCTCATAATGATCAAAACACAATGTTTGTTCTTATATTATGGAGACTGTTGTCTGTTCATCTTTTCCTTTTGGCCAAGGTGCTGTCTGTTTTTCACTGACTAAGTGGTTTTTGATTGCTGCCTTCGGTATAATTTTGTATATACTGTTTATAAGAAAGATAACTTCACCAAGAGTGAAGACTCTAAGGTGCTCTCAGAGGGATTTTTAGTGTTGTGTGGGAGTTTCTTTGTTTTGGTGAAGAAGTTTATAACTCATGTTTAACACAGAGATAACTCATATAATTACATTGGTTGCAATGAATTACCCAGTGAAATATAAACCAATAATTTAACATGTGAAATAAACTCGATAACTTCTCTTCTCTAACTTCATACAACAATAGGTGTTGTCAAGACGTTGTCAATGACGTTGCATCAAAGCAAATTGTGAATGTGTAGGAAAAGATATAGTTCCTCGCATTTTCTACTTTATTTCCATTAAAAAGCACATGGTCAATGTAATAAATAGAATAACTAATCAAATAATTCAAATATCGAAAAATATTCAACTCGTGACCAAACAACACTGATAATTAACTCATGCGCTATGTGCATTCATGAATTAATGTGTTGTTCAGTCACTTGTTCAATATTTTTTTATATTTGAATTTTTCAATTAGTTATTCTATAATGAATTTTACCCTGTATAGTATAAGTCTTTCCGGCACCTTTCTGACCATAAGCAATCACTGTACCATTATAACCTTCTATTACAGACTGTACTATATCATGTATAGTTTCATCATATAATTCCTGTTGCTGAGAACTAAAATGTTAAAAAAAAAAATCATTAATAGTTGATATTATAAACATAATCATTAAAAGAACTAGCAGGTCTTCTGTTAAAAGGTCATTTGCAACAGGTTTAATGTACTGTAATTTTTAACAATTGACATATGAGATTAATTGTTCCGATTTCAGGAAATGCTTAGAATGCAAGATTTTGATGTTGCCAAACCTATATTACCGATGTAACTTTTGCATTAATAAAAAAATCGCAAAAAATTCTGAATTCACAGTAACCTGTGACACTAACTTTAAAAGGACTTTCTACTCAATGTTATTGTGACTTTATGTAATAGAATATTGACACCTCACAGCAGACTATATTGATCAAATTCTGATGATTTACTTCGTCAGTTAAAAACTTTTAACAAGTACAAGATTATACATTTAATCTCAAGTCACAGAATAACTGGAGAAAAAAATACATACGTTACAGCTCTTTTCATAATGCTAGCAAGACAAAGGTTTGTTTGACTTGCTTGCTTTGTTTGTATAAATGTTTGCTCAAGCATTGTAATTAAGATTGACATCTGCAAATAATGTAAGTAGGCGGAGTTAAACCTGTGTATAGGTAAATTTGATTATTTGATAATGTCCAATCAAATTTAAATATAATGTATACAAGTTTAAGTCCACCTTTTTATGTTGTTTTCAGATGTCAATCTTAATTACAATGCTTGAGCAAACATTGATACAAACAAAGCAAGCAAGCCAAACAAACCTTTGTCTTGCTAGCATTATGAAAAGAGCTGTAAATACCACAATTTAATGGCACTTATAGTCAGAAGAACCCCATAATCTTAATCTTATTTTAATCGTAATTTAAAATCATGATAATAAAATTGATATTATCCGGTTTATATTCATTGTGTCAAGATTCAAAGACAGTGTAGGCTATATAGCACCATTGATTCCAGAGTAATATGAAAATTTATGCCATTAACTTATTTAAGTTTTTATCTGTTGCATTCCACTAATTGTTTTTTTTAAAGTCTTTAATAAAGAAGGTATGCAATTTCTCTCTTTACAACACAAACAGCTATGTATCACTGTGTCTAGAAACAAACTTTCTTAAATAACTGTTAGTTGGTCATTTGGACAGGAGATGAACAATCATTGGTTTTAAACAGCAATCCATTTAAAAACTGTGATTATTTTCAATTTAAAATACAAGTAAACATATTTGACTTTATCTTGAAATGACTAAGAATGTAATAGCTAAGTAAAACCAACAGAACAGGTTCACTTGAATACACATTAACAGATAATCTACCGGTAATAGCTGGAAGAAATAACATCCCATAAGATGCTTTACAATTTGTTTTACATCTCTGATCAAGGATGTACATTAATACATTGAATACCCCTGCTTTTTAAAAGCTTGTATTTCTAAATCTATATAATAAGAAAACATAGGACATTTAAAATAGCAGAATTATAATCTAGTTCGACCAGCAGATGTTATAATTCACAATTTTAGGAAAGCAAGGTCAATGAGGAATCTATTACAGCCTTTATCATTTTCTGTATAATAATATATACAATAATATATCATGTTAAGAAAGTGGTAATTCAAATAAAAAACCCATTTAATTTGATTTATACTTTACAACCAGCTAAACCAAAGGATTCTTCACCATTAATCATGTTCAGGAGCAGCTGGTTACTCATGAAAAAGTACTTGTATTATTTCACATATACTGTAAATACTTTCATGACTTTGGATGAGATTGCATGATATACATCGACACGAGTTACTACAAACATGACAAACCTAAATACCTGTACAACAAATACTTACTAACACACATGAACATTTAAGTTTTATTCTTTCAATTCATATTCTGTCCTATGGACAGAACATTTCTAAACTAACAACAGACATATCTTTGATGTGCATCTCTCACCTAATGCATAAAAAAAAAATCATGGCAATACCACACGCCTTAATACCAATACCTACTTCTCATCACACGCCTTAATACCAATACCTACTTCTCATCACACGCCTTAATACCAATACCTACTTCTCATCACACGCCTTAATACCAATACCTACTTCTCATCACACGCCTTAATACCAATACTTACTTCTCATCACACGCCTTAATACCAACACTTACTTCTCATCACACGCCTTAATACCAATACTTACTTCTCATCACACGCCTTAATACCAACACTTACTTCTCATCACACGCCTTAATACCAATACTTACTTCTCATCACACACCTTAATACCAATACTTACTTCTCATCGCATGCCTTAATACCAATACTTACTTCACATTGCACACCTTAATACAAATACTTATCTCTCATCACACACCTTAATACCAATACTTACTTCTCATCACACCCCTTAATACCAATACTTACTTCTCATCACACACCTTAATACCAATACTTACTTCTCATCGCATGCCTTAATACCAATACTTACTTCACATTGCACACCTTAATACCAATACTTATCTCTCATCACACGCCTTAATACCAATACTTACTTCTCATCACACGCCTTAATACCAATACTTACTTCTCATCACACTCCTTAATACCAATACTTACTTCTCATTACACGCCTTAATACCAATACTTACTTCTCATCACACGCCTTAATACCAATACTTACTTCTCATCACATGCCTTAATACCAATACTTCTCATCACACGCCTTAATACCAATACTTACTTCTCATCACACGCCTTAATACCAATACTTACTTCTCATCACATGCCTTAATACCAATACATTGTACTTACTTCTCATCACACACCTTAATACCAATACTTACTTCTCATCATACACTGTATTAAATGTAAAAGTTCTAGATACTGGATTGTCTGACCATTCAGATTCAGGTTTTGTAACCACTATTTCTCCCTTGTCTTTATTAACCTTAACAACTCTGTAAAACAAGAACTGACTTTATACTTATACTTATTGAAAAAATTATACCTAATTACAAATAAAATAAACTAAGAATTAAAGAACCATGCAAATAAAATCTATAGTCAAGTGACTGTAAACTTATGCTTATTACTAGTTGTAATCAGTGTAAACAAGAAACTGATACAACACCATCAATATAGTATTGTATAATAAATATCTTTAAAACTTGCAAGTTTTTTGCCCAATTTTCACATACATGTCATACCTGTCAACTGACCTGTATCATGCAGATGACACCCGTAAATTTCACCCCCACCCGGGATTTTCTAAATACCTGCCAGGTCGTTAAATACCCTGGGAATTCGGAAAATGACCCGTTTCCACCATGGATTCTTGAGCTTTTAGACTGATTTCATAAGTGATTTTCCTTTGAAATACCGGCAAATTCGTAATTCTTCCTGGACAGGAAGTTCAACTAGCTGTGTTAACTGTCAAATTAAGTGACCCATTAAGTGCAAGGCTTCACTTCACAGCTTTGGTGCCAAACACATTGTTAATTAACACCAATTACCTTAGCTTAAGGTCGTAAATAGTTTGTGGATTTCAAAGTTGTTTGACAATAAATTTGAGTTACTTCCCCTTTTTTGTCACCTTTCACAATATACTCCTTACATTTATTGGTGTTTTTCTTTGTTAAAAGAATAAATCTAAGGCAAATTGAATGCAAATACATATCAGAATATTACTTTCTTTTATTTTTCTACCTTAGAACAATTAAAAAATTGATATTTTGAAAAACATTTTTTTTATCTCTACTTCCTTTTAGTGCTTAATTTTTTTATTATATTCCAATATCAACTACCTTTATGGAATAGCTGATACAGCTGTACAGTTCGATACATACAGAGAAACATGTGGCTTGGGAATGAATTTAATACTTGAATTGAAACAAGATGAGGTATAGTTTGGCTCGAATAGACATACTTATAAGTATTGGTTTTAAGGTGTGTGATGAGAAGTAAGTACAATGTAATGGTATTAAGGCATGTGATGAGAAGTAAGTATTGGTATTAAGGCGTGTGATGAGAAGTAAGTATTGGTATTAAGGCATGTGATGAGAAGTATTGGTATTAAGGCATGTGATGAGAAGTAAGTATTGGTATTAAGGCGTGTGATGAGAAGTAAGTATTGGTATTAAGGCGTGTAATGAGAAGTAAGTATTGGTATTAAGGAGTGTGATGAGAAGTAAGTATTGGTATTAAGGCGTGTGATGAGAAGTAAGTATTGCTATTAAGGCGTGTGATGAGAGATAAGTATTGGTATTAAGGTGTGCAATGTGAAGTAAGTATTGGTATTAAGGCATGCGATGAGAAGTAAGTATTGGTATTAAGGTGTGTGATGAGAAGTAAGTATTGGTATTAAGGGGTGTGATGAGAAGTAAGTATTGGTATTAAGGCGTGTGATGAGAGATAAGTATTGGTATTAAGGTGTGCAATGTGAAGTAAGTATTGGTATTAAGGTATGCGATGAGAAGTAAGTATTGGTATTAAGGTGTGTGATGAGAAGTAAGTATTGGTATTAAGGCGTGTGATGAGAAGTAAGTGTTGGTATTAAGGCGTGTGATGAGATTTTCTTCTTCAATGCAGGTCATATCCAGCATTTTCATTTTCATAGGTTGACAGGTATAACATGTACATTTTTTGGTAAACAAAGGTGTGCAGGCATACAGTATTATTTCAAACTTTGGGTAAAAATCAACAAACCTTCCATGTCCTGCCTCAACTTCTCTTTTAATCATTGGGCGGCATCTCACTACAACCTCAACATTGTTTTCCTTGTCCTGGAAAATATTTATTGCTTGTCATTTTTACCTATTAAAAATAATTTCTTTCATTTATGTGAGCTTAAGTAAAAATGTAAGATAGTTTAACTCACTAGTAGATATTTGCTTTGCCCAGGATATAGTTGTTGAAATATCATCTCATTAAACATGTTAAAGGCTAGAGATATACAGTTACCTAATTTTCACTGATAGTTTCAAAACAATAAACTATAATCAACTCAGTGCTTTTGGATAGACTGAAATACTACAGAAAATTCAGAAATTATTGCACGTTTTTTATTATTGCAAATGATGCGACTGGGTGAGTATTGCAATAATAAGAACTCGCATTCTAAAATCTGACATATATATTTGTATCCTTTCCATATAAAAAAGAGGATGTGGTATGATGACAATGAGACAACTCTCCACAAGAGACCAAATGACACAGAAATTAACAACTATAGGTCACCATACGGCCTTCAACAATGAGCAAAGCCCATACCGCATAGTCAGCTATAAAAGGCCCCGAGATGACAAATGTAAAACAATTCAAACGAGAAAACTAACGGCCAAACTTATGTACAAAATAATGAACGAAAAACAAATATATGTAACACAGCAACAAACGACAACCACTGAATTACAGGCTCCTGACAAATGCCTTTCTAAAAACAAAACAAAATATTATTTCAATTTCTCTATATGCTGGTAGAAACAATAAAAGCCAGCATTCAAATGCTCCACGCCACGACAAATATTTTATTTGTCAAAGGGCAATAGCTTCAATAAGTTTTGTTTGTTCATTTTAACTTTTCCACAAGAGTGCACACAGTCTCACCTGCTTCACTGATCATGATTTAATGTATGTTGAAAGTCTTAGAGAAAAAGGTTATACAACAAATATTACATAACATTTACATTATCAATGATCAGTGAAAATGAGGTCAAGGTAAGACAAACCTGTCAGACAGACATTAATGTCCTCGTTAGCTGTAAATAGAGGGGCTTGTTGCCCCCCCCCCCCCCCCCCCCCCCTCCTTTACAGGCTGCGCCCTTCTGCCCTTAAACTTAAAAAATTGTGCCCTTGTTTCCATTTGAATTGACCCAACTGTCCACAAAATGATTTTGACCAACCATGTGACAATGGCTTCATACATTTTTGATAATCTTTATGTTTATTCTAGAATAATTAGGCTTGATTGCATGCAATTACCTTTTATGTTTTGATACACAATAAATTGTACAAATAATTCTGATGATGGTGTAATTATAAAAACAGCTAGTTAATCCTCTGGTTCATTGACCTCATTGTAAGACAATCATCATTCTGTTTCAGCCCAGTAATTAAAATAAGTTTCAAAAGCTTTTTACAATTCATATTAAAATTTAGAAGCTTTTTCATATTAATAACATAAAATAAGATTTTATAAAAGGTAATGAAACAGGAATGACTGCCATAATTTTTTTTTTTTTTTTTACGTGGAGTTATTACCCCTTAAAGAGGATTTTCTTTAAAATACACATTTACTGATTTAGATTGTTAAAATAACTACCAGTTGCTACTCAAATTGAAATATACACTACAGTTTGACTATGCATAGGCAAAATGTATGATGCTGAACTGCTTGACAGCCTACCCCAACTGACATTAAATATCAACTTAGAAATCTGATAATGCTAGATATCAAAACATCTGGCTGGATCATGTGGATCTGATCTAAAATTAACACTTGCAAAATGCAAGTAAAAGATTTTTCTTTTATATAAGCAAAAGAAAACCTCACATATCTCTGCAAGAAAGTAGTTGAGTTTGTGTAAAATAAGCAAAATAAAGGGGCTATTTATATTTGCCAATTTAAAAGCAAATCTGTTGTAAAAATGATAGCCACCCTAAAGTGCCCTTTATATAGGAATGTCCCTCTGTACTCAGTTTCTAGCTAGAACACTGAGACATGTACAACATACAATCATTTCATAAACCAAATATAGTTGACCTAATGCTTATAGTTCCTGAGAAACAGACCTTATTACATGTATTATGAAATCTGATGTTAAAAATTACAAACCACGCTTGTTTAATTAATTCTATTTTTAAGTTTTAAATTCCATATCAAAGTTTAAACAAAAGGCAGACACAGGTGTCACGGAATAGAAGTTCCTTCATAATATAAGTTCCAAATGGAAACAGTATTCTGGAGTATTATTTCCACTGGAATAAATATTACAGTAAATGTTCCTAACGGAATAAATGGTATAGAATATTTGTTCCAACAGGAACAGATATTATGACATTGTTTATAAGAAAGTTTCCAGTGGAACTTCTGTTAGGCTGAACAAATATACGTTGACACAGGATCTGTTTTCTTTTTTCATGCAACCAAACACATATAAATGTTTGGGCTATCTTTTACTTTAGGGGTTACTACATGTTAGGGTTTACAGATCATTTATTGTAATGCTTACGTTAGGGGTTGTTACATGTATATGTTAGGGTAAGTTTTTAGGGTTGGGGTACAGTTTAGGATAAAGGATAGTTTAGTATAGCTCTATAGACTATATCATGTATATAGCTCAGCTGGTTGGGACCCTAAAGTAAAAGAATGCGTTGAAATTCCCCTAATTGTATTGTATATTAACATTGCAGGGAGAAACCTAACTGTCGTGCATTGTTGTAGTACCAGAGACATATATACCTCTGGTAGTACTAAGGTGTATTGATAACATTAACAGCTATTACAACTATTACTATTAGCGCAATAAAATATCTGAAGTTGGATAAAAAAACAAACAAAAAAACAAACACAACAGATTACGAATCAGAAGTAAATTCCCCAGGACTTGACTCAGGACTATGCAAAGATGAGATCGTAATTTAAAACATACCATTCTGTTCTTCTTCTTTTCTTCGTATAAGCTTCCTCTGTTAGGAACACCCCTCTTTTGAGGGTAATATGGATAAAAAGTCTTTAACTATGTACACACTCCGTGAATATATATACACTTCATTCTGTTGGGGTAAATTCAGTAAATAAATATACGTCACCAGGGACCGCCCATTTGGGGGAGAGCTTTCTGTACAAAACTGAAGTCCTGTGCTCTTCTGATTGGTAGATAATGTTTGTAATAAATATTTTTTGATAGATGGATCAAAACTAGAGTTAAAAAAAATTAAAAAATGAATGCTGAATGTACTAATTTTTTTTACTACAGGGTTGAAAAGCAATGGGGGTCAGTAAAGGAATTAAGTGCGAATCTACAGTGTTTGTAAACAAGGCCATGTGAATGCCCAAAAATGCCGCATGACCCTATGTTTTTATTGTTGCAAAAGATAGGGCTACATTTGTACTTTCAAGAATGATATATGAAAGCTTCCAATTTCTAAAGGTAAATCAGGTATAAATTTAATTCAAGACATAGATTAGCATTAAAGTCAATGGGAGATTTTTTACTGAATTTACCCCTATAGGAAAATATGCACTCTGTCACTGTACTTGTTCAAGGCCACACAATAATCACAAAACTCATTTCCTGTAAATATTAATGCAATGGAAGCCTCTTGGAACCAGTTAAAGTTGTTTTTATACAAATTTCTATGTTTAACCGCGGCTATCCAGGATGCTCTGAGTGTACTGTGGGAGGAAGCATGGGTATATGGTAAAAAATCAGTTTTGTGTCCAGATTGAAAGAAACAATAGAAATTACACTTGAGAGTTATGATATTATTAAAAGGCATAAATATTCTCCCCATTTTAAATCACATTTGAACATATTTCTCCTAATAATGTGGAAAATCATATGGAAAATCAGAATTACCTCCCTTTGACATAGTGTATTTTTTTAGCTGTGTTCCCCATGTTAAGTTGTAGATCATGTTGTAAATAATCACTTTTCAAGTATTTTAACACTCGAATAATCTGACCGTATGAAGATATTCATTTATTTTTTACATAATTCATTGCGTTTCTTTAAGTAAAAAAAAATACTAGACAACTTTTCATTATTATATACCCTTCATCTATAAAACTAGTGTTGAAATGTTTGTAATTGGATTGCTATGTTGAATAATTGCTTTTTAATATTCTAAATTGTTACTTTTATGTTCCAAATGCAAAGTTTGGTCATACCCAGTCTTATTTTTTTCATATTTGGCACTTTTTTCTACTTCAGTTTTGTCCGTCTAGTTTTGGCGAAGAAACCATCCTGATGTTGGGGTAACAGGAATTTCTGCAGAGTGGTTGTCAATGACATTTTGTGAAATTTACAAGTAATTAAAACACAGATTTAGTAAAATGAAACATAATTGTTGTTTTTTATGGTATGAAACTGCTTAAAAAACCTTTGAAAAGTCTTTTTGTGGTCTTTTTCAGGGTATTTAATTAAAATCTTCCATATAAGGCAAAATTTAACTAAGAGTACATCAAGACTTTAGTTCCTAGATGTACTTGCAATACTGATCAAAGCAAACACAGAAAACAATTCATATTTATTAAGCATAGTATTTTACACCATTCTTTTAAAAACAGTCAATGTGCAACTTTATATACCAAATATACATTGGCCGCAGTATGGGCTTTAGTATAAATTTTCCTCCCTCTTTACAAGTTCAGCCTTTATGAATGTTGTATTGAAACTGGAACTTGAAAATTGGATACATTACATGATTAATACAACAAAAATAGGAAAAGAAGTTAAAAAGTCCCTTATAGGGGTAAATTCAGTAAATAAATATACGTCACCAGGGACCGCCCATTTGGGGGAGAGCTTTCTGTACAAAACTGAAGTCCTGTGCTCTTCTGATTGGTAGATAATGTTTGTAATAAATATTTTTTGATAGATGGATCAAAACTAGAGTTAAAAAAAATTAAAAAATGAATGCTGAATGTACTAATTTTTTTTACTACAGGGTTGAAAAGCAATGGGGGTCAGTAAAGGAATTAAGTGCGAATCTACAGTGTTTGTAAACAAGGCCATGTGAATGCCCAAAAATGCCGCATGACCCTATGACTATGTTTTTATTGTTGCAAAAGATAGGGCTACATTTGTACTTTCAAGAATGATATATGAAAGCTTCCAATTTCTAAAGGTAAATCAGGTATAAATTTAATTCAAGACATAGATTAGCATTAAAGTCAATGGGAGATTTTTTACTGAATTTACCCCTGTTTCTGTGGTTACATTTTTAATGCACCTTCATGATTGAGGGAGGGAAACGCATATAAATATTTTGAACATATCAGACTAATGTAAAATACCTATACAACAGTGGAGCACACGTACGTATCTGTAGGTGGTCGATTTTAAGAGTGAAATATTGTATACTTCTAATTCAGCAATTCATCTTTCAAAGCATTTTCTTCTTTTAGCTCAACTTTATCGTTATGTCTGTTCTTGTCTGAAAAATAAACATGCTATATACTACACTAGGACGAGCTTACCAGTTTAAACTTTACGATTTTGTAACCACAATCCCGTCCTATTTTCATCGAATATTTTCCTCCCATCGATTTAGACTCATCACCGGGTTTGTTCTTGCATGAGCAACACAACGGGTGCTATATGTGGAGCAAGATCTACTCACCCTTCCGATGCACCCGAGATCACCCACAGTTTTTGGTGAGGTTCGTGTTTCTCAGTCTAGAGTTTTCTATGTTGTGTTTTGTGTACTTTGTTTGTCTTTTCGGCACTTTTATTCTTTTTCCATGGCTTTGTCAATATGTTTTCGACTTATGAGTTTGAATTTCCCTTTGGTATCTATCTTTTGCCTCTGTTCTATAAATTCCAAAACGATAGTATCAGTACTACGACTTAGCAGGCGGAAACCCAGTTGAAATTAAACAAAAGAAATAGACATCTTTATTAGAGAAGGTAAAAAGGGCCAAGTTGGTAAATTTGAATTGTTTACATCTGTTTCTATGGGCTTTAAAAGTTTAATGAATGTGCATAATTTAGGATTTTATGCATCTTATATATGTGTTTTTACTTTAATTATGGTATGGAGCTTCGAGACAATTGTAAACTTTTAAATTATTTTATATTATTCACGAAACAGTCGATCGGGGTAGGTGCAAATACATGTGGATCTTTCTTGTGCATAAGCATAAATTCCGCCGAAAAATATCCAATAAAGACAATAGATTGATCTTTTAAAAGCATTAATTGCATCTCTGCCCCCGGCGACTTTTTTTTGGAAAAAAATCCCTAAAATGTGTAAATTTTTGAATAGAAATTAATAATTATTGAAGAACCAGAAAAATAATTTAGTGAAATTGGTCTCTCTTCATTTAACAGTGAACACATCTCTGGTCAGGGTTTAGTTTGGACTGCCTTCTAATTTAATTTAAACACGTTTTTATTGGTCACGCAGTACAGTAATTTATATTGGATAAAAATTTCAGTTTAAAAGTAGAACTCACTACTAATTATTACTTTTCAGAAACACCAGAAAACATGTAGTCAACATTTTAATGATTTAAATTTTTTATGTTTAAACATGCCTTAGTTTGTCGTTGAAACCTCGATCAACGTAGTTAATTTGTTAATGAACATTGTGTTTCGTCGTTTGTTCCTTATTAAACAAAAACTTACAGTACTAAGAAATGAAATATATGGGTCAAGAGAAATACCTTTCTAATGAGTCATAACAACAGAGTAGGTGTGTTCGAAATACTTTTTTTTTTACTAAAAGTACTTGACGACAGACTTTACAAGTGGATCTTAAAAATGTATAGTTAAAAAAAAAACTTTTTTTTGGTGTGTTATGTAGGGTAATTAGTCCTCAACCTCTGAACATTTTTAGCCTGCCCTTCCACGAAATATTTAATTAGATTTTTTTTAAATATTTTTGAACTTTCGAAAATTCTCCCTGACAACCGATCAGACAATACTTTTAAGTTTACCAAATGCATAAAAGTACATTAAATGAATCTCAATAGCACTTGGCCTTATAGGGACAATTTCTATGGTCCCCCTTCTGGGGTAGCTACTACTCCACCTTTAGCTCCTGCTCCACCCGTAGCAGTATCTTTGACTCCTGCAGTAGCTCCTTCTACCACCGTACCTGACTCTCGAGCTCAATCTTCTAGTTCTTCTCATGGTACTCAGGGTTCTGATCATGCATCATCTTTGGATGGTTTTCAGAAGTTACTTTTGGACTTTGGTGAGTCTTTTAAGGCTGAATTTAGTACTCTATCCAGTCGTATGTCTCTACTGGAGAATAGAGTTTCTTCTCATCAACCTTCTCCAGCTAAGTCTGTAGAATATGATGAGAGGGAGGATGACGAGCTTTCTGTTTCCCATGGGAGTCATGAAAGGGCTTTCCTCACTAATGAGGATGTTGAAAGTTCTTCTTCTCCCAAGGTATCGAAGACGGCCCCTGAGCCTTCTTCTAAGTCAGCTCAACAACCTCCCACAAAGGAGACTGAGGATCCTCCATCCTTGAAGGATCTTATGGATAAGGTGTATACCTTGATGAGGAATGAAGCACATATCCCTTTTGCCTCTCCTTCCAAGCCGAAGAAACCTTCTTCAACTTTTGAAGCTTCCTGTGGTATTTCTCAGGATACTGCATGTGACTTCTCACAATTCTTTTCCTGATTCTGGCCATATGGTATTTGCTTTACAATTTATTAATGGAGTATCGCTAATTCTGCTAGTGAAAAGGTTGCTAATAACAAAATCTCTGGATTTGGAATGTCATCCTTTTCTGATCAGGTTAAATACAAGGATTTTGATATCTTTGATTCTTCACTGGGTAGACTTGTTCCAAGTTGTGATAAATCTCTTTCGTCTGTATTGGGAAAAAAAGCCAGTAGATGGTCTTCGTCTCACTCAACCTGTTTGGTCAAAGACTGAGAATCTCCTTCGTAGTGCTTCTCAAGTTCTTGGCACAGCCGAACATTTTCTAGCTGCAACCGGACATTTGCTTAACAGCGAAGATTCGGTTGTTCCAGCAGAAGTACGATCCTTCTTACTTCAACTGAATAAAGCTCTAGGTTCATCTCAGTTGCTTTAAA